ACATGGTTCATGCATGACTTTGTCCCAGCCCATGCCAGTCATAGCACCAGAAATTACCATGAGATTGACTACACTGGGTGACAGGAAGGTATGGACGAGCAACCTGGCCAAGTTGTTCATCAGACTTGAAACCTCTTCATTTTTTTTCTTTGGGGATGTCTAGAACATATGATATACACTTAAGCAGTGGATACTGCAGAGTAGCTGCTGCAACACATTCAAAGTAACTGCACCAGTTTCAACATTCCCAGCATTACAATGCACAAATCCATGCATCATCAGGCTGCAGCTGGTGAGGCAGTGCAAGGCCATCATTTTGAGCATCTACTGGGGCCCTAACAACTGTTACCTCTTACCACTGGAATGTAAATCTACATATTACTTGACTGTTATGTTACTTCTTGAACAGAACTCTTTTGTTACTGATAACATTTGTCTGATAATTGTCTAAATCCAAGGTGTACTGCCCTGTAACAACAAAGCTGTTTTTGCAACTTAAGTTCTACTCTCCTCCTGTTGTTGCAGTAACACCATGACAACTGCATGTTCTGTTGTTGAGTGGGGAAGGTGGCAGTAGTGAAGGACAAGCAGTCATCCCCACCATCCATCCTAACTCCTTTCCTTCAAAAGTGTCTACAGCCTGCATTATCGAAGCGTTTTGAGACCCATGGTTACACAACCTTTTGTTTTGGGCCATTGTACCCACCTTCCAGTTCTCTGTACTTATTTCTGGGGCATGCTGTATATTACTAAACCAGAACAATTACTGTTACATAAACTGTATTTGTGTTTACAGACTGAGTACATTTATAATGAAGTTTTAATCTTCTATACAGCTGAGACTGCAATAATGTGTTTACATGAGCTATGGATGACCATGCACCTATGGAATTAAAAAAAAAACCTTTCTATATTTGAAAATCATGATACATTAGATTATAGTACAACATACTGTCACGTGTTGGGTATGTCACAAAACAAATAACTTCACGCCATCTTGGATGTAGCGAATTTATTGAATACTTGCTCTCACACTCACGCAATTTACAATTTCAAAACTACTGCCATCTGCAGTATCACAATTACTTTTCCTGATGTAGTCACTTCCATTCACTTGATACAACTCAACTCGTAACTCACTCACTACTGAATAGTGTTCGCTGCCCTTTATTTAGGCTCGGCACGGACAACACAAAGAACACTTTGCTGCTCGGCAACAGATATCAGGTATTGTTGTCAGGTGTTTCTACCTATGCATTGACTAGCAATAGTTGCTGCATGGCCTTGCCTGTTGTGTGACGTCACAGCCTAGCGGGGAGGGGTGTTTACTGAGCATTGCATAAGGATGGAAGGAGTGGGGGTACAGGACATCACTCGTGGAAACGCAGAGTTCACGTGACCCCTACTTCCTTTTGCGCCATCCATGTCACAATACCATTACAGCTGTACCCACACTGGATGCAGATTGCACCCGCTGTGCCAGCAGACAGGTCTGCCAACAAGTCTCAATCAGCTGTGATTTTCGTGAAAAAATCTTATTTACAAGAGCATTTTTATACCTGTACGTTTCGGTATTTGATAAGGACTGAATAATGAATATACATGCATCAGATCACACTCCATGGTTTAAATCTGTTGCCTGGTTCTAATTTCCGGTTACTGGGTGCAATTACAGCATTGTTAAAGAGCAGTCTTCTTGGTTATAACACAGTACACATCAGCAGAGAGTCTGACATATTGCCTCCATCTTTAGGGTCAAAGGTTAGGCCAATCAAGAAATCAGCAGAAACTATCTTGCCACCTGCTTCTACTGGTTTCTTACTTGCCTTATTCTTCAGCTTGGGAGATGGAGTCAACAAGTTCCTCTGAAACACGAGGCTGTGTCTAAACTAGAAAATGTGGCAACCAAAAGACTGTACTGTTCATAGTCACTGCCATGAAAACCCTACATCCACTTAACTGCTATTATCAACAAGGTGAAAAATTAGGATGCATTCACATCTACTTCTTGAAAGCATATACCCATACCATTAATAATTAATTAATTCACATAGTCAAGGGTTGAGTCCAGTTGGGTCCACTCGGCACATTGGCCATTGTACCTGCCCCGGGTGATTATGATGGAGAATTTGGTGAAATGAAGATTGGCAGGAGAAACCAAAGTACTCTGAGAAAACCTGCCCCAGCGCCACTTTGTCCACCACAAATCCCACTTGACCAGATCCAGGCTTGAACCCGGGCCACTGCGGTGGGAAGCCAGTGACTAACTGCTTGAGCTATGGCACAGCCTACCCACACCATAGCTACATGTAATATTAAAATATGGCTGCCCTCTGAATAATTGTCATTTTCAATTGGAACACAACATAACCTTTCATACATCACAGTGCCAGACCTTAGTCTTGACTATGTGAGGCCAAAAACTGATTTGCATATCTGCTGGTTTCTTTACCATTAAATCCTACACAGAGTGAACAGATAAATGGTATTATTAATATTACCATTCCTTATCATAGATGACCAATTAGTGCCAGAACTTTTACAGACTACATGTGACAGGCATGTGTCTTCAGTTTCTCATTCTTAAAACTGCATCATCATGGCTGCAGAAATCTGCATTCTATCATCAGAATCAACCCCCACATTCATCACCAGCAGTATTCATATAGTCTACTAGACTGTCCCTGTTACTGAGTACTTACACATTAATGCCATTTTATTCACGACACAGATGCATCCCCCCCCCCGCCAAAGGAAAGTTTTGAAAGTTTGAAGCTTTTAAACGAAACAAAATTTAGCAGCACAGAATAAAACTACACACTTTCCTCCAGGCAATCAAGAGACTGTCATATACTAGGTGGTTCGAATATAACTGGGACTGATTAAAAAAAAAAAAAAAAAAAAAAAAAATTGCCAAACACTTCATTGCACATGTCAGTCTTCAATTTACTCCCNNNNTGCATTGTCTTGAAGGAAGGCTACCTGCTTTCCACCTCTCTTCCGCTTGGATCGGATCTTTTTCTTCACGTCTGTTGCCAGGAGGTCTGAGTAATAAGCTGCATTGACTGTTCTAGCATCTGTCAGAAAGTCTACATGGATAACCCCCTGCCAGTCCCAGAAGAACGTTGCCATCACTTTTCCTGCCGAATGGCTCCTCCGCACTCTTGCGTTTGGGAGAACTGGTATGCTGCCACTCGCTTGATGATTGCTGGGACTCAGGAATGAAGTAGTGCACCCACGTTTCATCGGTGGTCACTATAGACTTCAAAAATGCATCACCTTCATCTTCAAACTGCTGTAGGAGGCAACTGGCAACTTGCATGCGCACCATTTTGTTCACGTCCGTCAAAGTGCGCGGTACCCAACGTGCATTCACCTTGCAATAGTGCAGGTGATATTTCACGATGTCTTCTACACTACCAACACTGATGGACAGAATTCCTCCAAGTTCCTTGATAGTGATGCGCCTATTCTCACGAATAAGTGCGTCTGCAGGATCAATGTTTGGCTTGGTGACAGATGTTCGCGGCTGACCGATCATGTGGTTCATTCTCCACGCGCTCTCTGCCCTCTCTGAAGCACTTACACCACTCAAACACACGCGGGTCTGTGAGAGACACTCTTCCCCATACTGTTGTTGGAGTCTGTGGTGAATTTCAGTAGACTGGACGTTTTCTCCGAGGAATTTGATCACAATGGGTTATTCCACACTCCGCGGTACCTTCTGTATGCTCATCCCTCTAGCAACGCCCAGACAGCACTGAACAGGTTCTAACCCTAACAGGAGGGAGAGTGGAGGTTGTGGCTTCACTCTCTCAAGGTCGCACAGCTGCTGTGCAGTGCAGCTTGTTTACAAAAAAAAATCAGTCCCAGTCATATTTGAACCACCTTGTAGCAATCTAGTAGATTCTATGGGGTTCTGATGATGGTATATAACACTCAAGACTTACTGGGTTATTGGACCTTCTCCATAGTCAGGTGTTTTCTAGTTTCTTGAATTGTGGATGATAGACAAAATCCGAAAACCAGTAATTCTGAACATTAAAACTATAGGCACTAATTTCTGAGGCTCAGTAGAGAACAGCATGCTGATCAAGGTAAGTATGCATGTTCTTCACACCTCAAAGAATTATTTCTTAAGGGTATTAAATACGTACAGCATACCCACAAAAAAAACCACGCTACCAGAAAAGATTTCATAATATAATCACATCACTAAGCATGCTGGTTCAAGCAGTGACATATTGAGCAAGTGCCTGGTTCAAATCTCAGCCAGAATACACTATCCTCACAAAGGTTTTTATTTTGACTGTCAACGTTGTTTCCAACCATTTTAACAAGTCCACCTATGCTTTTCCTCCCAGCCACATGCATACCATTAGGTAGATATAAAATCATGTATGGGCTTAATTAAACACCATGCCATGAAGACATACAGATGAGTAGAGGTATAGTCCCACCATTCTTAAACTCAGCATTTGATGGAGGTGAGTGGTGAGCTTCTCGCTCCTAGCAATTTACCAAAGAGCTCCTGGTACACACCGTGTAAGTGGCTGGGTATACCTCAGAGCCAGCTTGGATGTTATGAAGAGAAAAATCTCTTAGCCTCCCAGGAACCAAATTCTGACTCATTAGCCATAAAGCCCATAGCCTAATCACTATATCACCTGAGTTTTAATCATTATAAGACCATTATAAACATGAACAACATCTAGGTATACTAGATACAATTCCAAGAGTATTTCTTGGAAGGAAAAACAATTCTTAGGAGATGGAGTGGGGCTGAAATCATTATGAGAAAACTTGATAATACAGAGCATGATCAAAATATTTTTCCGGTTTCTTTGTTTCCACAGAGTAGGTCACATTTCTTGGAGCATGAGGTATTCAAATCATTTATTTGTCTGCATTTCGTGCAGTATGAGGGTAAGAAGTGTCCTGCCTTATTGGTCATATTCTATTTAATATTTCGATCTACAAAGAATTACAATATTAAAAAATCATACTTTTTGGACAATTTAATTGCAGACTTCAGTGGGTATACATTTATACAACAATTTACACATCTGAGACTGAAAATTGTATTAATGAAGAAAAAAAAATTTCTTAAATGGTCACCGCAGATGAGTAAGATGTAGAATACATCTATCATATAATGCGCAACAAATAAAAATTTCAAATAATCTTTACCTTTGAAATCACTACTTTGATGGCACAACCACCACCTATTAACTAAACTTGTCCCAACTATATAGTTTTAAGTCACATTTGCAAGTATAACATGAGTGACACAACTTTAAATTTTCCCTGGGAATCTGTTTTCTTCTCGCTGAGTGTCCCACTTTTCAACCCAGGCAAAAGGGCAAAGACTTTCATAGCATTTGCGGAAATATTCACATGGTTCATAACCTTCTCCCTTCAACTTTCGGCAGCGGTGATAGTCAACATAGCTCTGCCAGCAGTACCTGGAACAAGCATATCCTTAACTTCACATCCAAAAGTCCTGATCAGCTACATTTGAACGGAATTTAAATCTCTCATGATAGCTGTATGAAAAGTCTTACTGGGAAATCAGTTGTGCAAAAATGGAGCTTGTATTCAGTATTTATGAAACTGCCTCAGACTCCATCACAAAGTGATCATGTCCACCATATTTATATACAGTTGCCCCTGGATCCCAATGTCCTGTCCAAGCAGTCACTTTTGCACGAATGATCCCCCAAGAAGACTTCACTGTATATTTAAAAAATTAAAAGGTCTGACAATAATCAAACCATAAATTAAAACAGTGTTCCGCAACCGGTGTGCAGTCACAAGGTGAAAGGCGTGACACGAACTATTACCTACTGTAAGAAATTAATTGCCGAATTTTATTCCTTTTATTTTATCCCAGTTACTGTGTTTCATATGCTTGCATTTTATTCTCAGCCACTGCAGTGATTAAATAAGATGATGCTTGTTTATTCTTTAATACATTCCGTGATTTTTTATGTACAGTAATGTTGTATTCTAAGAAATTAAACGTAAATTATTTACTCACAGTTGTTGTCATATCATAGTTTTCATTATTGATTTGTTTTTATTTTCTCGCATCTACGCAGCTTCTTTGATATGCTTGCCGCATGTTCTGTGTATGTGCTTTTCCCTAAAACTGCAGGGATTAGCATGGGGTTTCCTGTCTTTTATAATGCTGTTTCGGTATTTGCCCGTTTGTTAGAAGGTAGAGCTTCTTCAACTTTATGACTTTCTTCCTGTAACGATGCACTCACCGATTGGACTTCATTTAAAATTATAAATATTTAAAAAATAAGTCGGTATAGTGTCACTTCTTCCGTTTGAAGAGTAGAGATCCTGTGTTTTACAATTGTTTCAGTTCTATCACAGCTGTGCTCTGAAGTAGTTCGCAAATTTTGGTTGCTAGCTGGAGAATTACAGATGGGTCATTTGAGATGTCCCCGACTGTATGGCCACTTGCTGACGGCAATAAAGTGGTGATGGACACAATTAAAGAACATTTAGAAATGCTGCAGCAGAAATTCAAGAAGTATTTTGGAGAGAGTGTACAAGATTTTGACTGGGTTCGTGATCCATTTGTTGTGAATTCAGAGCATCTTCCGATTAATATACAGGAGGAACTCGCAGATTTAAAAGCAGACAAAACACTGAAACTAAAACTTCTCAAAGTGCCTTTGGATACATTTTGGTTGGCAATAAGGAGTGGATACCCGGCTATCTCCAAGATGGCAGTTAATGTGTTATTGCCATTTTCAATGACATATTTGTGTGAGCTTGGCTTCTCGACGTTAACTGAAATTAGGACATCAAAGAGGGAGCGGCTCAAATCCATCAATGAAGAAATGAGACTTGCGTTGTCAACGATTCCACCACGGATCAGTCGCCTGTGTGCAGCTACGCAGGCGCAAGTATCACATTGAAGATATGAGTAGAATTACTGTATTTACTTTAATAGTAATAGAAGTGTAGTTTCTACACTCTACAGTGAATTAAAGTTCATTAATTGCTAATAAATGCATGAGTCGATTTCTGTTTAATGATAATAAAATAACGATATAATAATATTATAGTAATAAGTTGATCACGTTACGTATTTATATTAACTGTCTGATATGCGATTTGAGGGGATTAACACTTTGGTATGCCATGTTGAGTCATGGATACTTCAAGGTGTGCCGCGAGTAGAAAAAGGTTGCGGAACACTGAATTAAAAACATTCAATTGTCATAACGTATAAAAGTTTATGATGGCATGTTAAAACCATTATTAACATCTGGACATTATCATCATCCTGTTTTCTGTTTAAAACACCACTGAAATGTTTAAAATAAAAATAGGATAGATATGTTTGAAAAGCACATACTTGCATTCAACACTCATATTGAAAAAATCTCAATACAAAACTATAAAATACCTTTAAAGAGAGCATATCTAAGAAGTTTTATACAAAAGCAACCCAAGCTTATATGATCAGGCCTCGGCAAAATTTTCTCATGAACGCAAGTGAATTGTTTCTAGCCTTATTATGGCCACTTCACACTGTCAATATGAAACGTGGTGACACATGTACTAAGTACTATTTAGGTAAGTTATCAGCTGCCAAAGTTAGGGTTACCGATGTGCAGGTGGACATACAGATACAGCAGTGGCCAGGCTCGATGAGCAATGCTTCGCTGGTCCACATATAGCTCCCCATACTCTTATGCATAATATTCAACTTTGATCCATTTATTTAATTACTGGGCATTCAGATCTTTAAAATATTTTGGATTCAGTACAGTGATACAGAGTCACAAATGGAAGTAAAACAGCCATAATGGACGTAATAGGTTTAGTATATCACTAGGTAGCAGAGAAGACTATGCATGTTCAGAGGCTGGTTTCAGTAGTCAAAATGTCATTAAGTCTGCCACATTAAGCACATTCTGTAGTACAAACGTTGAAGGGATATCATTTTCTGTGACTGCAGCATCACGCATGTGTGTACACAGAGAACAATATCAATAACATTGTATTATAACATATGATAATTGAGCTCATGCTAACATTTCAGTACAACTTATAAATACGGATCACTAATTAAGGGACATTGGACTGTTGGTCTGCACTACGTTAAGTACAGCAAATTTATGTCCAGCAAATTGTAATTCTGACTGTAAAAAGTAAGTAAAGGTATCCCTATAACATGCCATGGATACCCATAGGGTTGTGAGATGTTGAGGTTCCCACATTTTCTAGACAATAGGTTCACAGATGGCAGTGAGGCTGTCAGCCTTACATGCCAGCCGCTCTTTACCCCCAAGAATATTCCTGGTACTCATTTCTGTTAGAGGCTGAGTCGAGCCCAGGACCATAGTGCGGCTTGAAGGATTAGGTAAATTGAAAAAATCCACCTCCTCGGGATCGATCCCGTGACCTTCCAGCTTGTAGCACAGTGCCTTAACTGCTGACTGTAACAACTGATAATTGTGTAGCAGTCTCGAGTGAATGCTCAACTGATCTCAGTGTTGACAGGACAGGTGGATTTTTTAAGAACACTGACCAAATTCTAGTCTATTTCCTAGTACTACTGAAGTGCGCATTCTTGACCGTGTTGTCATAGTAGTATTCACATATTTAGATGAGTGTTAGTTGTGTTTGAAACCTATAGGAAGGATATGATTACATTCTTTTCCTTTCTCCCTTTCATATTTTCATCTTATTTCCCCCCATCTTATAACTGTTAAGAAACTATTCCCTGCAGAATATGAATGAGCTATTCCACTAATACATTATATGATAGTAAACATGCTCCAAATTAACAAGAAGCACATTACAGTTAACTCATGTCTGCCTCATGACCTTCATAAAGATATGAACACAAGCTGCTGCAAACATTAATAACAATCTTTACAGACGATGCATCCTGTCTGTGTAAATCTACAATGACCGCAGTACATCAACATGAAACCTTAGTTTAAAATAGAAAATTTGATCTTATAAAAACAATCTTCAGGTAGAAGTTATATATGTTTGGGAACTATTTTGACTGTAGAGTACAATTTTATAAAGTTATTATGTTTTGCTGTACTTTAGCATCCTGTTGCACTGATTCACATCCATGATGTGTATGTATTGGCCGTCTTCTAGTGCACACAATCCCACTTGTCACTTCACTACATGTTTCGGCATCACTGTGCCATCCTCAGGTGTGTTATTTACGTTAAACTATTGCACTGCTCGCCATCATGTGTCATTTATAAAATGATTTAGGTAGGTGATGCAGGTATACACAAAATATAAGAACAACTCCCATAGCGGAAGATTGATATAATACGCAAGTTTGAAATACGGCGTATACGATGATAAATCTTAATATATAAATTTTATTATAGTACATGACGAATATACATTTTAAATTATTTTATAAACAACACATGATGGCGAGCAGTGCAATAGTTTAACGTAAATAACACACCTGAGGATGGCACAGTGATGCCGAAACATGTAGTGAAGTGACAAGTGAGATTGTGTGCACTAGAAGACAGTCAATACATACACATCATGGATGTTACATTTATTACAATTTTCAAAGCAGATCTATCTTGTACTGTAACAGGAAACATTAAGATAACAATGCTACAGGAAAGCATGTAAGAATTACTTGTTAATAAATAAAATCACATGCATGCATTTCTACTGAGGTCTAGGCGAGTCTGATTGAACTCTTTTACTAAGTTAACTGTCACAAAATGGTTAGTTCTACAATAAATTAAGCTGAAAATGTTTTGGTTTCAGGTCAAAGTCAAGGCAGTGGTTCCAGTAGTCTAGTGAATTCCTGTACAGAAGATCCACTGACTGGTGCATCAATTAGATCTGTGCCTCAGTGTCTGCGGAGACAATGTGTAAAGTCATCAACTCCTTAAATCAGAACAATCTCTCAACAGGTTTCATTTGAGCAAACCCAGTACACAACACTGAATACTTAAATAACTTGCCAACACAAACATGTAGTGGCCACCTGCAAGTTACACTTACCTTGTCTGATTCTGATTTGGGAATCGTGGATCAAAAGGGGCAGTGGAGAGTTCAATTTTTGCTTCCTTCTTCGCAGCCATGACAGCAAGAGAAGGCATTGCAAAGTCAAACTGTTCCTGCAAACAAGGATGGCATTATGTAGCACCTACAATGGAACTTTCTCATTAAGCTGCGACAGTGACGGCAATGCCATTGCTGAGACAGTTAGTCACTGTCTTCTCACCATGGCAGCCTAGGCTCAATCCCAGGTCAGGTCACATGGGATTTGTTGTGGACAAAGTGGTATAAGGGCGAGTTTTCTGAGTACTTTGGTTTCTCCAGCCAATTCTCATTCAACCAACTGCTCCACATTCATTCATCTTCCTGTCAAGTCTATACAGTTTCATTACTGGAAGCATCATTAAATAGCCAGCTTGAAAAATACAGCACTTACAGCATAATTACTGCACTCAATACCCATCTGAAATAGCAACAATATACCGTATAGCACACACAACAGTAAGACAATTTTAAAAGCTGACAGAGGTCCATCTGGTCAAGAAATTACCCAACTAAGCATGGAACACAATGTTCATTACAGCCTGTCACTGCAACTCGTCCTGACCTAGTCCACATTCTCACACCCTACTGCTTTATAACCTGCAAGACCTAAAGTTCATGGCAGAAGTGACACAGCCTTCTGAAATGATCAGCTGCATTAAACCTGAGAAGTCCAACATTTCACAGGCTGTATCACCACCGCTAGCTAACAACTAGTGATCAATTTAGAGACATCCCATCTTCAAACAGAACACCTGATCTGCAAATGTACAGGCTGAAAATATATCATCTTTCCATGCTGATTCTCATATAAACATTTTCAGATACACATACTGTCCTTGCACCATCTGTTACATGCCAAGTGTCCAAACGATATTATCTCCTTCCATGTCACTCTCCTGCATCTACATTGTAACTGACAGCGTGACAATACGAACGAAGCAGCAGTCATGTCAGCTTCTATGACTTCCCATCACAGATGGTATACAAACAGAGCGTATATCTCATTTCTATAAATTGTCTGAGATTAAATTTCTAAAGGCAATTTCTGTTGACTCTGCATATGAACTGACGGTGACTGCCCGTACCACTGGAGAAAGATCAGATGGAAGGATATTAAAATTCAATATAATTTCAACAGCACGCCTTCAAATATTGAAATATATTATTTTAAAAAACCGTTAAAACCCACTTCCAGCAAAGTTTTAAGAACAGTGTAACACGTACATGCACGCAGATATATACAATTAAAATTTCTGTAGCATGACAACAAGAGATCAAAATGCTTCATCATGTATCCATCACAACTCAAGATTCTGTATATATACACCCTAAACTGTATTGCTCCCCCCCGCCCCCCTTATCACCAACTTTGGCCATTTCATAGGGAGAGATTGGGTTTATGTCATCCTACTGCCAATGTGTGTACTCCCTCCATCCCAATACATGAGAAATAAGACACATCTTCATGAAGCTTTAAACATCATACCACTACAGCGCACCCCACATCTGGATGTGTACTTTATTAAACAATGGAGCTAGATTATGTGATATTCTTTTAAGGCAATGGATCATAATCATAGCCACGATTTTGATGAAACCCTTCATTTCAGCTGGAACAATTATAATCACAACAATGACAAACGACAAACTGCAGGGATTCTTTGTGACCTTGCTAAGGCTTTTGACTGTGTTAATTATGAGATATTGACATCTAAACTAGAGTATCACGGTGTCCGCGGTTGTATATTAAACTGGTTCAAATCATGTCTATTGGATAGAAAACAGAGTGTGTACATTAAACTGGCTAAAGTTTTTTTTTTCCTGATGATACCAGTATTTTGGTTACTGGTAATAATCATGCTGAGCTTAAGTATAAAGTCATGGGTACACTGTCTCTTATTGTAAACTGGTTCACAGCTAATAAGTTGGCCTTAAATATCACTAAAACTAATATTATTAGATTTGCTCTAAACAGTCCTATAACTCTATGGCAGTTGCTAGCTGGAATTTGTTTATGAATGAAGTTCCTGTGATAAAATTTTTGGGTCTGCAAATTTATAAGAATTTGGATTGGAAGAGTCATGTAGAGTATATTCTCCCTAAACTCAGTTCAGCTATTTTTGTAATTAGGAGTTTATCTTATTTTATGAGTAAAAAAAGTGTTAAGAATGGTGTATTTTTCTTATTTCCACTCTATTCTTAAGTATGGAATAATTTTCTGGGGCAACTCAATGAATAATGGTAAAGAGTTTTTAAATTACAAAAAAAAAGTAATAAGGATTATATCTGGAGTGGGACCTAGAGACTCATGTAGGGATTGTTCTAAGAAATTGAATATACTGCCATTGTCATGTGAATACATTCTCTCGTTGATGATTGTGATTGATAATTAAACTAAATTTTGTTCAGGTTTGAATACAAGAAATCGAAAGCAATTATATTTGCCAAACTTGAATCTTTCTGCTTTTCAGAAAGGTACTACGTTTACTGCCATTAAACTATTCAACAGATTGCCCATAACCATTCAAAGCCTTAAAGAGGATAGAATTAGTTTTAAAAATAGGCTGTTTTTATATCTTATGAATAATTCCTTTTATACAGTTTCTGAATATGTGGAGCATATCATAAACAATTAGTTTTAATTATTTTGTTATCTGTGTTTAAATTTTTTGTATTTGTTTTTTTGATATGACAACCTTCATGTCCATTCATTTTGGACTTGTGAAATGAAATGTATGTAATATTATACTCCAAGATTATACTGGCCAACCCTATTGTACTGTGAATTACATACAAAACTGATTACTGAATTATATAACTAAGTTTATAGTTCTTGCCAGCCTCACAGTGTAACATATATATAAAATCCATTTTTTTAAGACTGAAGAATGCTGCCTTAAATCTTGCATATCTTCTAGTCAAAAGGTAGAGTAGAAAGCAATGGAAATAACAATTATTCATAGAGGGGGATATATTCACAGGAATATTAAACTTCATAAAGGCAGGGGCTTCTTCTGAATGAGGTAATTTTCTCCCTGCACTGGGAGTTCGTGAACACTGCACCATAATCCCTGTTAATAGCACTACTTTTTGTTTTTAATGCAGCAAATTCAATGCAGAAGAGACTGCTGAGTTCATGGTCACACAATCACCTCACTGTATTTGCTAGGGCAGCAAATGGATTTCATATACATTAACACACAAATTAGAAACGTTATACTGCAGCATGACATCGCGTGTGAAATTTATTTCATTCCCTTGTCAGTCTGTAGTATGAACATGCCACACACTCATAATTTTTACAACACATTTTGGTTCATTACACCATCATCTGACATTTGACTTCTTTACTTTAACCTTTATTCATCTGCTAGTATTCCTACATTGGCCAGCATTTACATATTGAAATTCTGATTTCTAGTAGTGTGTAATGTTGTTATATACTAATATAAAATAGTGTTCACATCTAAGATTAAATATTAATTGTTAGTTAAAACACTAAACATATATAAAAACTTTTGTTATGTTTTTGCCTGGAAATAGCAGTACTGTGTAGATATGACTCTTCTACTGATGTCTGGTCTCATATTGATGTACGTAGTTATGTGTTTTGTCGGCTTGCAGGCATACGACTGCAACTTCTTCGTGTTTCTTGTATGTGGTGCAATTAAAAAGTTCCCAAAATATATTAATAAAAACTATTACGTCTTACCTGGATCTTATTCTGCACCATCACCTTCAAAGTAGTCCCCTTGGGAGCGCATACACCGATCCCAGTGTTTCTGCCACTTTTCAAATGCATCCTGGAAGTGTTTCTTTGTTAGGGTGTTTAGTAACGTCTGCGTTTTCACTTGAATTTAGTCAACTGTATCAAATCTTCGCCCCTTCAACTTGATTTTCATCTTGGGGAAGAGATAAAGTCGCATGGAGCTAAGTCTGGCAAGTACGGTGGGTAGGGAACAACTGCCATCTTGTTTTTAGCCAAAAATTCCTGCACAATGTAAGCTGTAGGCGGTCGTGTGTTGTCATGGTGGAGTACCCAGTCGTTCATGTGCCACTTCTCTGGACATTTTCTCCTCATGTCCTCCCTCAAACGCCTTACAATATCATGACAGAACTCTTTATTGACTGTCTGACGAGGAGGGACGAACTACTTATGAACAATCCCGTCAATATAAAAAAAAACAGATCAACATGGACTTAATGTTGCTCTTGACTTGTCAAGTTTTGGCCGAGGTGAAGAAGGGCTCTTCCATTGCGACGATTGCTGCTTACTTTCAGGGTTGCAGCCATAAACCCAACTTTCGTCACCAGTGACAACCTTCAAAAGAAAGTTTGGATTCTCTTGAAGCTGTTGTTGAAGTTCCCTGCAGACTTCCAAGCAATGCTGCTTCTGTTCATTTTGCGGCAGTCGTGGCACAAACTTCACCACAATCCTCATGTTCAGTTCCTCTGACAAAATTTGTTGACATATACCATAACTTAGTCCCAAGGTGTTACAGAGGTCTTTGATGGTCAGTTTATGATCTTGAAGAATCAAATCCCTAACTTTCACGACATTTTCTGGTGTGGTGATGCTGACAGCTGTCCCAAACAATCATAATCATCAGTCAATGTTCAGCCATTTTTGAAACGCTTATACCAGTCGTTTTTGTTTGGCCTAAACTGTTGTAACCAAAAGCTTGCTTCAACATTTGGTGAATTTCTGCAGCGATTTTCCCAAGTTTAAAAAACTTTATACACATATGCTGCTCTCTCAGGCCAGCTGTCGCAAAACCGCAAACTCGAGGAAACCACCAATAAACCCAATCACTCAACTCAATGACGCTTGCCACACTGATTCAAGAAGGGTGTGTGGGGAGACATCTAGCGGTATTTCGATGTACACATAACCATTCACGCACAAAATTCAAATTTCGGGAACTTTTGGACTGCACCACATATTTGGGAGAAATGTTGCGCCTTGTATATGACAGTTGTGAAACTGACATATACAAGTGATAAATTACAATAAAAAATATGGACAGCAGCTCAAAGACACATGCATCTCATAGTCCAGAAAATACAGGAGATTAAAGCATTTAAGAAAAGAAGGCATACATTCTTACAAGAACTTGTAATTTTTATTGTTTTTCAATATAAACTCCAGAGCAGCACTTCAGAATTGGCTGATAAGTACTGAACAAAGGAACCTTGAGAAAAAAAAGACATTACTCATGCATCTATTTAGGTTACAATGATGGATGTGGTCACAGAGGCTTTATTAATGCATATAAAATTCCTCCTAATACTTACCGCATTTTTATACAACTCCTCCTTTGTACTGATGAATACTGATTTTGCTCTCACTATAACACAACGAAGAGAACATTCCATGTACGAAACAACATGCCACGTTTAGCATGTATCATACAGAGAGCACAAACAGGTGAATCTCCATGGTGCAACAGAGACTGCTTTTCCTCCACTACAGAACTTTTCAAATATACACATGTACCATGTGCGGTAACACATCAGGTGCACTCCAAGTAATCCTGTTACCTTCAGTTTGTGTACCTCACGCACCACATCCCATAATACTCTCACTCAATCATCCAACTTACATCACATAATTATAATTCCAAATTCACATAACAAAGAACTTTGTCCACCTTGCTCATTAACCAAAATGGTGAGGGTAATCAGCAATTTCCTTACTGTAAAAACTCATTCACATATGTTTTGTATAATAAAAATACATTGGCACTATTAAGTCTCCTTGGAAATTTATCTGTACATGCCACTACTTGAGTCCACAATGATAAATAAGACACCATTTTACTCCACTTCTACCGATTGCAGAATGTTTTTAGGTCTGCAGTGATAAGCAAAACAAAATACAGAAAGTTTACCAGTGAAGTTAAAAACTGGCGCATCAGAATAAAGTACAACACAAATATGATTCACAGTTGAGATGGTGATATATATATATGGAATTTCGAAGTGTAATGAGTGGAATCATATACAATAACCTCAAAAGTTTAAATCTGTACTTCCTCCATGAAGGATCTATCACACACTTGCAACCTACATACAACTGGCACATGAATTATAGCAGCCTTAATATAAATGTAGTGCAATCTGCAGGCAAAATTCATACCCATTACATTATAATATATTCCAAAATGGTAATGTCTTTGGAAGTTACAGCATGTTCAAGTAATGAAAGTGATTGCTTCAGCTCCCATGCCATGTTGTCAGTTATTACCGCAGGTCATTTTACTTGACAAGTGGGCGTGTCTTTCCTTCCTCTTCACATGATGCCTCTTTGTATTTGCGGACTTCTGCCATATACAAAGACCAAGCATCCTTTGGTGTTTCCTCCTCCTCTTCTTCTCGCTTCTGTTTCTTCACCATCCCTGTTGGAAGAACTCGCCCACCTCGTCGCTTACCTACAATACCAGGAGCCACTCCCCGTCTGGGAACAGCTGACACTTGTCGAGGTGCTTCTTCCTGCTTAACACTTGTACTTGTTTCAGGAGTACTTGTTTCTGAGGCAGGGGTTTCAACTGTTTCAGGATTTGTTTTGTTATTAGCCTCTTGCATTTTCTTAAACATCTCCAAAAAACTACCATCATTCTGGAACACATTTGTGAGTTTTTCCTGATCAGAATTTGCTGTAGTATTTGCTGCCAAGTCATCTGTCACTGTATCTTCCTTCCCATAATGAGAACCCTCCCTTTCACTGTATCCACTACCATCTTCCCCACGATATCTGGAGCTTCCCCCGCCATAATATCTACCACTATCATCTCGATAACGTGACGACTCTGAGTGCCAGCTGTCTCCATTTCCTCCACTACTGCTGAATCTTGATCCTCCAGAGCTGTATCTTGATCCCTCAGAATAACGGTTATCAGAGTGTCTCGAACCTTCCTGGTATCTCCCAGTGTCACTATATCTTGAACTGCTCTCTGAATATCTCCCATCATCCTTTCCTTCCCTGTACCTGGAACCTTCATCACGTCCATCCCTGGACCTGTCATAGTACTTCCCTTCTTCCCGTCCATCTCCAGATCTTGAATCTTTAGAGTATCTTGAACTATCACTGTACTTTCCGTCATCTTTGCCATTTCTGGATCTGGAACCTTCAGAGTACCTCCCATCCTTATATCTTGAGCTACCTCTCAAATAATCGCTACTGTATTTGGAGTCTTCTCTGTCGTCTCTAGATTTGGGGCGTTCCTCATCTCGAGCTGACCCCCGCGAGGACTCGGAGTGCCTTCTGGCAGCAGAGCTGGCAGAGCTCGAACCTCCGCTGTCCGACCTATGATACACCATGGTTAGTGTGGAGCAGGACTCTCCCCCAACTCGATTCTGTCCACCTAAAAGGAAGAGAAACTGCCTGGTGTAATTAAGGTGTTAGCAACACGACAACCTTTCTGTTTCTGTCTCCATCCTCGCAAACCTCTCAGCGTCATTATATTTTGCTGGAACCACAATCCATCATTGTACACCACATTTCCAACCACACAATAAAACGTCTCTTTCACACATATGAATCTGCACTGGTAAATTCAAGCCACTCTCTCTTTACCATACAGTTTGCTAACTGAAACAGAATCTGTAACAAATCATTCAAAGTGTACACTTCTACTGCAAACATAACAAAAAAGGGAGGAAAGAGAGCGCAGAGAATCTTATAATAACCGCTAATACTAAATATCTAATACAACTGACAGCTCTAACCACCAATTTACCTCACAGCTGCTCTTGAAAATACAGAAAAACAATTCATCAGCCAAAGAGCCAAGAGCATTTTTTTTTATTCAGGCATCCAGGTATATGTATAAATCTCTCATCAAACCAATATTTTAAAACTAAATTAAGCATATTAATATTAATTCATTCAATACACATTAAATACACCTGTATTATGAGACAGTTAAATCTTGTATAAGAAAAAAAAAACATATCCTATGCTTTGGATATGGTATCATTAAGGGCTGTGGAATTTATTCATTCTTGAACACAAGAACACAATTAAAATACTTGATACTGGCAAAAAAAATCTTCAAATTAAACATTTAGAGCTCTCAACAACAGTTCCAATTCACTGACCATAGATTCATGGTTATAACTCTCAAATGCTGTTCACACTATGGCCTCCCAGGTTGTGACAATATACAGTCTTGTAGGAAGACACCACCTGTTGCAGAGGAACATGCATTCTCCATTTTCAGTGTTAAACTATCTCCTACTATCATGATAAAGGCAGCATGTTCCTCCAAAGACTACATCGAGTTACAACCCAGAAGACTGCAATCAAAGCTTCCCATGCAGGTGACAGTAATTTTAATTTTCAAATCTGTTCAGTATTCCTTAGAATGTTAACAAACTACTGAAAGTCATACTTGATGCGCAATTACAACTACATGATAGATTCATTTTACAATAATTATAAGTTGGAACAACGGATATAAAACCAGAAAACGGAAATTGTGTAATTTCTAGGACCTTACAATTTCCTTAAATTGTGCTTCTCTCCACAGAGGTGGGGGGGAAAATCACTGTACTGCTTTGAAACTTATACACATGCTGCAGATGATGCACACTTTAAAATGTTGGTTATATACAGGATAAAACTGTTGTCATACTTTCTTGTGTATTTTTATGCAGATGCTGAATTTCATTAACTTCTCAAACATGATTGGGGTACTTCCTTTATGGCATAATATTTTTACATTATACATGATATGAATATAGAAAGGCCCAGCCCCCAAACTGTTAGTACCTACAGTACAAAGACTCCATAAAGCAGACAAATCTAGTCTACAAGCACCCAAAATATCAAGTTCAAATTTAAACAATGGTTTTGATGAGGCTTCAAACTGTTCACTTATTTATAAAGACCCTAATTCCATACAGTGCATTACGGGGTCCTGTACACCAATCTGTCACAATTAAATTTAAACACTGAACAATTCCTACAAAAAATACATGGGTCATTCAATGTCAAGTAAACGGTTTAAGGGCAGAATTTTCATGACCATCTGTGATTCTAATGAAATTTTGTATTTCGTCTTCTAGTGACCAAGCCAGATGAAAAAAGACTACAGAGACCTAGATGTAGGTGGAAGAATATTAAGATGGGTCTTAAAGAAACAGGATGGGGTGATATGGACTTGATTTATGGCTCAGGATAGGGACAAGTGGAGGGCCGTTGTAAACACAGTAATGAACTTTTGAGTTCCATAAAATATTGGAAATTCTTGAGCAGCTGAGCAACGAGTGGTTTCTCAAGAAGGGCTCTGTTCTGTGGACTTAGACAAATCATTATAACAAGTAAAATGAGTATGTCATAAAAACATATGAACATGCTAAAATTCAGCACACCAATAAAAAGTCATTTTAATATCTGTGAACCACAATATGTGGAAAATGAGTGCCATGTAGGGGGGGAACAAATCCGTGGTCTGTAGTCCGCAAGCGAACTATATGACCCAGCGACTGCTGCGTGTCAGTGAAGTTAGTACCAACTTTTGCGGATAGAGGGTGCCGCGGCCGTTAATCTCGGTTTTCTAGACTGCAGCCATTATTTCCTCGAAACAGCTCCTCAGTTATCCTCATAAGGATGAGTGGACCTCGTTCCAAACCCACTACTTCTGAGAAAATCTGGTAGTGCCAGGAATCGAACCTGGTACCTCTGGATCTGTAGCCAGGAACTCTTGACCACTAGACCACAAAATTATGAACACCTCACATTATATACAATAAGCACCAGGTACATTTTCAAAGTCACTAATATCAGAGACAGTAAAGAGAGTTTATTTCATCAGCTTCCACACATCTTGCCCAAAACATTCTTCCTAAAAAAAATTCTGCCCTTCAAGCAACAGTAGCTTAAATTAGCAAATACTGGCTGAAGTATATGCTCAGATTTTGTCCTGAACCACTAACAAAATGTGAGGTTTTATGTGAAGATGTCTAAAATTACAAACTATCAGCATGAGCCGGGTTAGCGCAGTTGCTACTGTGACTAGCTATGGGCTGGACGCCTGAGGGGTCGGAGTTTGAGTCCCAGTAGGTTCAAGAATTTTATCTTCTCCACGTCATTGAGGCCAGCTCTGGGGCCCACCTAGCCTCCTAACCAATGGGCACAGGGGTCTCTTTCTTGGGGGGGGAAGTGAAGCTGACTACTCACCTCCAACTAGTGCCAAGGTGAAGAAAATTTAGCTCTATACATCCACTCCCCCATACACCTTCATGGTGTAGTGCTTAATTAGTTATGAATGAATGTATAAGGGGTGGGCCTTCTTGGCCCTTGCACTGCAACCACAGTGATCTATTGTGCCTGCTTAATTAGTTAAGAACAGGGACAACTTTACCTTTTTATCAGCAGATGTTCGACTTGGTTAATTAATTCACTATAGGCTGCCAATAAAAAAGTTTCTAAAAACCCATTCAATCAGATTTTTTCCTCATAAACATACACCTCCTCGATAGGCAAATATCCAGTTTACCAAGAGTTTCTTTGCTGGCATGGTGTTCAAAACTTAATCACCGTCACATAGGTCTCACTGCAGTCCAACCCTAAGCCAGTGCATAACCTCAAACCCCACTTCTATAGTTTAAAACTCATAACCAACTGAACACACTTTATATTTTTTATATTTTCTAAAAATATATACAATTCTGTAGATTCAAAAAGGTTACATTATATACGTTACTTATGTGGCATACAGTTTTGATGATATATATTAAGACAGGATTTCATGACCATGATATGTTGAATGTTTAAACAGAAATGTACATATTCCACAAATTCTTTGAGCCTAATATGCACTCTAAATGGACCACAGCACATGACTCAAAAACTATTCTCTGAAATGCCGTAATAACCTGACCCCTTGCACTGTGACCTTCAATGGTCTACTGTGCTTCCCCTTTGATTAGCCCTTTATTAATCCTACACTCTGAATGACAAGTAGGACTTTATTTATGGGGGCGTCATAGCATTCATTTCATTCCATTAAGAACTGGCCCATATGAAGATGTTATTCAAACAGCCACAAAGATTAAAACATAATGCTCATCTGAATGAGACATATGTCAGTGTAAGATTAACCACTTGGAACATTTATTGCAGAATTTCTGTTGATAAGATGCAAAAATAATTTCCCTGCAAAAAGCCTAGGAAATATCTTACAATAATTTTATACAGTAATCAAACCTGAACCCCCAAAATTACTAGCAAACACAACATTCACCAGATTGAAATGATACAATTTAAGCAACCAGCACTGTCCTGTTTCAGAGAAGTTAAAAGATGATAAAAAAAATATGCGCTAAGCACCCTGCAACGCTATAAATGTGAATACCGCCTTCTGCTATGTTTCATATCACCATCGAACTATAAAACACAATGCTGAAATCGGACTAAAGCAAAACTGATATACGCGTTTCAACGTGGTATCCTAAATTACTTACAAACCTGCTTCACCCAAATACAGAATAATGTACTGCAATTATGATAATCCTTCATGTCGTGAACACAAAATTTACTTACGTTTAATATGCACCAAAATTAATTTTTGGGAAAGCTCTGTAAATACTTAACAATTTCACAGATTATAATCCCACGAGCATACGTCACCTATAACGTTACGGCAGAATAAAAAGTCTACAGACCTCAACATTTTAAAGGAATTCTGATGTGTATGTCTAAATTCAACACATTACAATGCTGACTGGCTATCAAAACATAATTCCTATTTACGCACAGAGCATTCAATAGCTTTTAATTCAAGACTTTCAATAGCATTCGTACTAAGTATATACCCATTAAATATACTTCAACAATAAAGCAAAATACATCTCTATAAACTAATACTAATTCGTTTACACATAGATTTTAACAAAATATCCAAAAAGGTATACCCATTATTCCTACCTCTTATAACTCAATAAAATGGCCGACGTGTGAGGAGGAAGAAGGTTATTTCATTGTACAATAAATTACACTGCAATCTGGTGGCAAACGTGGGAATTATGCCACGACCAACCGCATGTAAACCATGTAAACAAAACAGATTTCAAAATCCCACTTTCGACGTTATTAAAATAACTGGGCAGACACTGCTAAATTAATTAAGGTAATCAAAAGGAAAGGAAGATATATTACTTGTTCTTGCTTGAAACCATAAACTTCAGAAGTCGTAAGTATAGTCTTCGTTCCTGTCTCTGGAAAAAAACATTCACTGGTGCAAATGTCAGTGAAGATTGACGCTTTTATTATCATACTGTCCTTTGATAGGAAGCGGACCGAATAGAAAACGACGCAATCAACAACTCTGTTACTGTTGCATGTGTTTTCGTTGCAGGGGAAACGTGTTTACCGAACCGTTGCCAAGTAACTGGACTGTTATTTATCAATGATAGTGGGGCGGTGGTTACAAATAGACACTGGGAAAGTAGGCTAACAGAGAAACTGTTGGAGGTTGTCTTTTCTCTGCGGTCCATCCGGAAGGTATCCAAAGGGAACCATGGCTAGCAGCCCGTGTAGGGGTAGGTTTGAATACCTCCACTGTAGCCTTGAGAGTCATTGGAGGCGACGATAAGGGAATCCAGTAATTCAAGTGTTCTGTGCCTAAGTGGCGACAGCTGTGTTGGCGATCCCGGTGGCCATCTGACTTCTAATCCAAATTCCCTTAAGAACAGAAGGCCTAACATACCTAGTTTATGCATCCTTCCCCATTCCGAATCGAATCCACCCAAGGGAACTTTACAAACATGCATGTTGACGATCACAGGATCGCAGACTCATCGGGCAAACACAGTTATGTACCACTAGACCCAACCCCAAAATTATTTGGAAAATTGTAGAATGAGTTCTTTTGACAGCGTAATTCCTATGTATGAACAAAGCCACAATACATGTTTGAGCAGTTTATTTATTTATTTATTTTTGAAGCAGTGAAGCTCATGGCTTATGCGCCCACATAGGTTTGCCCCTGTATTTAAGAAATCTGCACTCTCAGATTTATGGTTGTACATCATGGAGGAACTTATGACCCTGGACAGTACATGCTCGGGTGCAAAGGAATGCTGGACTGAGACCATAACCATCCAGGGTGACAGCGTGCTACGTCAACAGGCAGGCTGCGACCTCTACGCAAACAGAGTACTGCTGCCGAGTGGCATGCAATAGAATGTGGATTATAGCTTGTAAGGTGATTTTATGACAGTTTCCAATTTCTAGTCCTAAGAATTTCTAAGTGAATTTGTCTTCATAGATTACTCAGGTGCTGATAATAGATGTACTGATTCACATACGTACCCTATGGAGAAAACGTTATTCAAGTGACAATATGAATGAAATGAAAGACCCACTTTGCTCAGACTGTCACATTGTGAGGCAGGTCTAACAGTTGTTCAATCAACTTCCTCCAGATGGTCACATACATCACACCCTAATTTCACCTTATATCTTGAAAAAGATTACTCCTCTTCTAGCAGCATATGTGTCATGGCCCTCATCTTCTATAGCCTGCACCTACACCTATGTGCAAGGATGTTGGACGTACTAATGACAAACTATAATCGCCCTGCATTAGCCTAGCACTTATTTATCTTCACCGACTCATGCTTGAGTGTCATTTATCTTCATAATCGACCTACAATGGAGGGTCACTATTTTATCCTTTCCCCATTCTTTGTTGCTCCGTGTCTGTGACTCCTGTGCATTGCTGCCACCTCCTGATCTCTTCTTGCTTGTCACTCTGGCCGCCTTCTGCACCTCATTGTAGAACAAGTAGATATTTGGAAAGGTGGGGAGGATTTTTGGGTTCCTGTAAGCGTACATTAGTAGCTTACAACTGTGGTCGAATTAGGAGCAGTATAGCTATTGGGAGTCAGGCCGGTGTACTCAGATATTGGTAGAGCTGATATCTAGTCTCAAGGGTGTATAGGCCTCATTCTGACAGGATGGGAAGAACTTAAGCTAACCATTTGCATGAACACCAAATAAGTTGCACAACAAATTTTATTTACTGTTTACTGTGTATCTATTACCAAATGCTTTACTTTTAACACTGTCTTAATTGATGAATTCTTAACAATATTGTCCCAAGTTACCTGGTAACCTACTTCTGTCTCCTAGGTAATGTGACGAATAATTTCACGTAGGTCTCAGATTCAGCAAATACTTATTGAACACTCTCATCCACACTCAAGTACAATTACTATTATCACTTATAACATCGTCAGACACTTACAACACTGTTATTGTTACTTCTTGCACCCCTAATTTCGGTGAAGGCTTCTGTTCGCAGCTGTCCTGCACACTGTACATTTTATCTATATCTGTTCTCTTCAGCTGCTATATTTAAACACTCTCTAATCTGCAACACTGCACTGACTCGTAAGTCCAAGTCACATTACGACTGATGGTCAGTCGGTCAGTAAGTTTAATTTTTAATTGAATTGTGCAATTGATCAGAAACCACTCGAGACAATGGAGGTCATATCTAAGGATATTTCTTTTCAAGACTGCGTCTCCGTAATACAGGCTTGCTTCAGTACAAATGAAGATTATATCAAAAGCCTAGTAGTGATCTTCCATGGTAGGGGACACACTTTAGAGCAGAAGAAGAAGGCAGTGCTCTATGAAGAAAGGCAGAGAACAAAGGAAGAGATTAAATGCATCAGACAATTTATGGTGTTTCAAGATGTTTTACACCTTGAAGAATGATGCTCAACTAGGAACAATGTGTCTAACAGAACAAGTTATGGAAGAACGCGGCTTTGGTTTTATGAAGAAGATGATTAATCCAATTAAAGACCTTATCCTGTTGTAGACCAGAAGATTGGCGAGCTCCCAGAGGTAGAATACGTAGGATTACTACGCTTTGAACACCGTAGACAATGCGGTGTATATTTTCATGGAGGTTATGGGCACTTGTGTTGATGGATGAGAGAGCACAGTGACCATTTTAAAGTTCCTGATTTGATGATAGTTAATGGTGACCCAATATATATAACACTAAACACCCTCAATGCTGAAACTGTGGATAATGAGATTGACAAGTTTATTATGTACAAGGTGGTTCAAATATGACCGGGACTGATTTTTTTTAAACCAAAATTGCCATACACTTACTTGCACATGTCAGTCTTCAATGTACTCCCCTCTGGAGTCAACACATTTTTTCCAGCGTTCTGGAAGCATCCTGATGCCCTTTTCAAAAAAATCTTGTGGTTGGCGGCATATCCACTCCCGAACATTCTGGATGACGGCGTCATTGTCCACAAACTGCATGCCTTGTAAGTCTGATTTGAGCCTTCCGAATAGGTAGAAATCACTTGGTGCCAAATCGGGACTGTACGGCGGATGTGTCAGAAGGTTCCATTTCAATTTCCGAAGGGTTTCCATTGTTGTTTTGGCCGTATGGGGGCATGCATTGTCTTGAAGGAAGGCTACCTGCTTTCCACCTCTCTTCCGCTTGGATCGGATCTTTTTCTTCACGTCTGTTGCCAGGAGGTCTGAGTAATAAGCTGCATTGACTGTTCTAGCATCTGTCAGAAAGTCTACATGGATAACCCCCTGCCAGTCCCAGAAGAACGTTGCCATCACTTTTCCTGCTGAACGGCTCCTCCGCACTCTTGGGTTTGGGAGAACTGGTATGCTGCGACTCGCTTGATGATTGCGGGGACTCAGGAATGAAGTAGTGCACCCACGTTTCATCGGTGGTCACTATATACTTCAAAAATGCATCACCTTCGTCTTCAAACTGCTGTAGGAGGCAACTGGCAACTTGCATGCGCACCATTTTGTTCACATCCGTCAAAGTGCGTGGTACCCACCGTGCATTCACCTTGCGATAGTGCAGGTGATATTTCACGATGTCTTCTACACTACCAACACTGATGGACAGAATTCCTCCAAGTTCCTTGATAGTGATGCGCCTATTCTCACGAATAAGTGCGTCTGCAGGATCAATGTTTGGCTTGGTGACAGATGTTCACGGCCGACGATCATGCAGTTCATTCTCCACGCGCTCTCTGCCCTCTCTGAAGCACTTACACCACTCAAACACACGAGTCCGTAGAGACACTCTTCCCCATACTGTTGTTGGAGTCTGTGGTGAATTTCAGTGTATGGGACGTTTTCTCCAGTGAGGAATTTGATCACAATGAGTTGTTCCACGCTCCGCAGTACCTTCCGTACGCTCATCCCTCTAGCAACGCCCAGACAGCACTGAACAGGTTCTAACCCTAACAGGAAGGAGAGTGGAGGTTGTGGCTACAATCTCTCAAGGTTGCACAGCTGCTGCGCAGTGCGGCTTGTTTACAAAAAAATCAGTCCTGGTCATATTTGAACCACCTAGTATAAGAGAGTTATAGCAGCCTCCGTAGTCTAGAGGTAATGTTCCCACCTCATGACTCGTGGTACGCGGGTTCAAACCTGGCAGAGATCGTCGAATTTTTAAGGGCAGAAAAATTCAGGGAACAAGACCTCCGGGAGGGACTTTAAGCCGTGTGTCCCGTGTCGTAGCTTTATGGCACGTAAAAGAACCTCATATCTCCAAAGGAGGTCACTGAGCCAAATTCATGGATGTTTCCCGCCCAACAGCAGTCTCTAATGCCTCTGATAGATGCGGGAAGCATTATAGACACCACCAAGCCAGTGGAGGCCGAACTCGCTGGCTCGGCGGGNTGACAAGAAGACGAGGAAGAAGACGTAAGAAGATGCTGGATGACCTTGGGGACAGAAGAGGATACTGTCATTTGAAGGAGAAAGCTCTAGATCGCATTAAGTGGAGGAATTGTTTTGAAAGAGACTGTGGACCTGTCGTCTTGACAGATTACTGATGATGATGATGAATGAAATAGCTGATTCAGTAGCAGTAAGATCATCTTTTTCTTTTTGTCACCAGTACCCAATGCATGTGGGAGGAAACCAAGTAGACTACAAAGAACACATGATTTTCCCTTACATGTATAACAAGATGTTTGAAGAACAGTTTTCTGAGGTTAAAGAGCTTCAAAGACAAATTGAAGAAGTTCAAGGAAGCCTCGGATTTTTGAGGGAAGAAGAAGAACAATTTAGCTATTTTGAGGATGAGATTAATGCCTTAAATGGATTTGGCATTCAAGATATATCTGAAGAAGTGAGGAAAGAATCAGAGGCTAAGAATTTAAAGCCTGTGAGTTGCAAGGAGGTGGAACTGCATTGATTCAGTCAGAGTCAGAGTCACATTGCGACTGACGGTCAGTCAGTCAGTAAGTCTTGGTGTCGAGCCCCAAATAGATATTAATTATTACCGTTTGACAGTTTCGGTCTTGTTTCAATGGGGTGCCCTCTCTGACGAGAGGACGGGTCTGTCTTTTGTATATGCTGCTGGCCCTTGCCAGCGCAGTCTTTCTCGGGTCCGAGTCCGAGTGGTACGTGCAACCCCTTTATATAGGCGTTTTTCAGACTGGTTAGTGAACACCTTCGCCCAGGGTTCGATGTCACGTGTTTTATGCTCGTTACTGTGGAAACGCATTATTCCGCTGTTTCAATAAATTGTTGCCACGGTTCTTCCTAGTCAATGGTCTGTTGGTATTCAATTTGTAACTGTGGGAACTCAACAATTTCCATTGTAGCCGTTGCTGAGCGATGGACGACATATAACACGTTATAATATGTTTATTCTTGTACCACTCGACTCTCTGGTAACTTCTGCTTTGACTAAGTGATTTGGTATAAACTTAGCAATGCACTGGTTGATCGGTGACGACATGACACACTTTTGCATCCATACACTTGAGAATTTGGAAGATGACTAACTTGGTGAATGAGCTCTCTGCTGTAGCGAACTTGTTTCATTCATTCATTCATTCATTTATTGTATATTCCACAAATCCATATACATAGATATAGAACCAGTCACATAGTTAATATAGTACAATACAAATATAAATATATATGTACAGTTTATAATCATTAAAATAGATAAAAAACATGTGTTAAATTTATATAAAAAACAGTCTTACATCACTATACGTAAAATTATGCAATATTAAAATTGTTTATGCTATTATCCTTATTTCTAAGCATATTTGTTACTAAAGAATTCATCACATGTATAAAAAGAGTTTTGCAATAAAAATGTTGTCAACTTGTCTTTGAGCCCAAACTTTCTAGAAGGAGCTCCTCCCTGAAACAGGCATTATTGGTACAGTTTAACCCTGGGAATTTACCAAAAATTTACATTTCCCAGTGATATTGACTTGCTGTGTGATTCTAGCTCTTAAAGACCCAACAGCTCTTCCGATAGCATTGCGATAAATCATTCCAGTAATGTGGGTCTCTAGCCCTCCTACTTCTGAGTTATAGATTGCACTAGCTGTCAAATCTCAGATTTCCAAAGGTGTGGTATCATAGCTCAAAGAGTTAAAATTCCAGGAAGTATAGTGAATGCCACATTCTGTTCATACAGCAAGAACAAGTTTATGTCACTTTTTGAATGCAGAAAAGTGACTAACTGCTTACTCCTTACTTATAACTTACATCTTGTGCTTAATTGTTCTTAACATAATTATAATAACCTTAATTCTAGTGAACGGTTAAAAAACATGTGCAATATATTGAGAAGTTAATTTTTCCCAGCCTCTCACAGCTACAAGAAAGCTTCTGCTATAACCTCAAACTAACATGTTAAGCCCTTATGACCTAATGAAGGGATGTTTGAAATTCCAGGGCTCCAAGTTGCCACTTCAAACTGTCACAACCAAGAAAGTTGGTAAACAAACACAGCTCGCCCAACAAGTAGCAAGTCTCGCTTGGGGAAGCTGAACAAGCAGTTTCAACAGTTGTACTAACTCTTACAGTTTATTACATACATACATATTTATTTCGTTCCAGAGATCTACAATTGGCAGTGCTGCCTTGAGATATAGAACATGTCAATAAAAAGTACATTTAAAATGATAAATTGTTAAAAATTAAATATCCAAGACATTTAAAAAGGTCACATATAATTGTAGTACATTAACAGTTGTAGAACACAAACAAGTAACACATCAAACCAAATCACAGACACGACACCGAAACAAACAACGTCAAAAATCAGGTGCCATTCACAACAATTATAAACAAAAACAGACAGATAATATTATATTCTAGATGTGACAAGGTGATGTGATTGAAGGTATGAAAAAATGCTGACTCACTGAAGTCTTCCATTATATAATCTTTAGGTCGGTGACTATGGGGAGTTGAATATCAAAGCTGTGTACCAGTTGCTAGGGCTTGATAGCCTGCAGGCTGCGGATGGATGCCCACATGAAGAGGCCAACGGAACACACAGCAAGTAAATTCTTTATAATCGCACCCTTCTGCAATCAAAGTAAGTGAATGCATATAGTATTAATGACAACCAGAGAGATGCTTATAGGGCACTGATGAAAGACTAATTAAATATGATATTTTATAACTTAACTCAGCCCCAAATGATCATGAAGATGTTGTCAATAAACTTAGGCAATAGCGGACCACTCAGTGTTACAAGTTCAATCACTAGAATCCAAGCCACTGGAGAACCAGAAAAGCTACCAAGAGGAATATGTGGAGCTAAGAGTGAACATGAAAATTGAACCCTCCACATCAAGGGCCCTGTACAGCACTTTTAAGTGGGTACAGGGTTCCAGGGTGGTTGACCCAACACAGACAGCCACCAAAAAGTGTATAGCAAGTGACAGCAGGTGGAGTAGGAGAATACACCACAGAACATGAGTGTATCAGCAGTGTGATTTAATGCACCACTCCATAACACAGTCCATAACAGAACCTGTGGAATATGGTTTGACAGTGTTTTACAGCAGATTCCAAGTTCTAGTAATAGGAATTCTAAGAGAGTTTGTCTTCATACTTAACTCTGTTGATGAAAATAGATGGGTATGCATTCACATATCTACACTTCAAGCAGCAAAATGAAGGTTTATAAGGCCGCAAATTTGTAGATTAGCCTTTTTGACATTTATATCATCAACTAGTTGTTATATATTTGTAACTCATTCCCAAGAGTTTTCTCTCTCCCCACTACCCATCCCCCCCTACACTCACCAACATAAAACTCAGCACACAGTACATCTGACAACACACATAGTAAAGAATAACAGCGGCACGCACACAGGAAGACTACACAGGGTAAGTACAAATACAATATAAACACATAAGAAAACATTACGTACACAAGATAATAATACGAATATATTTATATATTACAGATAACACACCTATACAGTGTGGAAACAAGAACTAGCCGCTGCAGCACTTTAGACATAGGGCGAGTAACCCTAACAATTTAAAATTTAAAATTTAGAGAAAAATTTTTAAAGGATTTTAAAATTAGAACTAAAGATTTTATAGTGCTACTACAGGTATGCCAAAATTAATGTGTGTAAAATAATCTACATCCAGACAGATATCAATGAAGTAGATGTTGATAATAACAAGGAAAGTGTTTTAAATGTTAAATTTTGGGCTGAGTGCAGTGTGACAGCGACGTGAGTGTTATACACCTGATGATGGCCGTCTGAGGCCGAAACATGTAGTGTAGGTGAACAAGATCAAGGACACATAATATATTGTTTGCACTTGGGACGGAATTTGTATCATTATATCATTTATCATTCCCAAGCTCAACTAAGCAAAGACCAGTTACGATATCTAGCATACTTCAGTTGCTTTAGGTGATTTCAAAGTTTTCTCACACTTGTCCACCAGAGGTCTGTTTATTTATTTCGAGAATAAATACATGTATATATGGAAAACCACATGGGACTGAAATTAAACGGGACACGTCCGCTGTTGGACTATGCCGATGATGTAAATCTACTGGGTGATAATGTAGATACCATAAAGAAAAACACACAAGCTTTAATTAACACTAGTAAGGAGGTTGGTCTAGAAGTAAACACAGAGAAAACTAAGTATATGTTGCTGTCTCTTCACTAAAATGCAGGGCAAAATCATGACATAAAGATAGGAAACAGATGTTTCGAAAATGTGGAATAGTTCAGATATTTGGAAATGACGATAACAAATCAAAACCTGATTCAGGAGGAAATTAAGAGGAGATTGAACTCAGGTAATGCTTGCTACCATTCAGTCCAGCACCTTTTGTCTTCTTGTCTGTTGTCCAAAAATATAAACTTTAGAATACACAAAATTACAATTTTGTCTGTGGTTCTGTATGTGTGCCAAACTTGGTCTCTGACATTAAGTGAGGAACATAGACTGAGGGTGTTTCAGAACAGGGTATTGAGGAGAATATTTGGACTGAAGAGAGATGAAGTGACAGGAGGTTGGAGAAAACTGCATAATGAGGAGCTTCATAACTTGTACTCTGCTCCAGGTATAATTAGAATGATCAAGTCAAGGAGCATGAGATTGGTAGGGTATGTAGCACAAATGTGGAGAAGAGGAATGCATATAGGATATCAGTGGGAAAGTTGGAAGGAAGAAGACCACTGGGAAGCCCAAGATGTAGGTGGCTGGACAATATTAAAATGAACCTTAGAGAGATGATGGCATGGATTGGATTTATCTGGCTCAGGATAGGGACCAGTAGAGGGCTTTTGTGAACACGGTAATGAACCTTTGGGTTCCATTAAATGCTGGGAAGTTCTTGAGTAGCTGCACAATTGGCAGGTTCTCAAGAAGGACTCAGCTCCATGAGTGAGGGAGTGAGTGATATATGAAAATGACATAGGTAAGGCCCATCCTGCACTCTGTCAGAGGTCTCCTCAGTCATGATAGCATAGCAGCATCTAGGAACACAGTAAAGGAATTTCTGGGGGACAAAAGGGGCGAATAAATTTGTCTTTTCTCATTTATTGTCATAAGCGAACATTCCTTTTACATTCAATAAAGTATGATGTGGGGCATTGGCTTTACTTCCCTTCCAAAGGAAGATGTGCTATGGATTTCTATTGCCCTTAAACATCCCTCAACTTCAGCCTTAAGTCCAGTGGTGAGAATGTTACCACTAGACCAATGAGACAGTGGTAATATGAATGAAATGAAGAACCAACCTTTTTATTCAGACTGTCATGTTCACTTTCCAGCTTATTAAATTCCTCAACTGCTTTCTCCAGGTTGCTAGCTGCTTCACACATAATTCTATCCTTGGAGGCTGAAAAAGATTCCTCCTGTACTGCGGGCATTTCTGGGGTGTTAAAAATATTAACCAGATCTTCTGCCTACAGGAAAGACATAACACACGTATATACAGAGATGTTTAGTAAATTGGTGATGTGTGGGCTGCATGCATGGAGGATGATATTCCTCACGCTCTCACAGCTGCAGGAAAGCTTCTATTATAGTTGTAAATTAGAATGAATTCATTCATTCATTTATTTGCATTCTGTTAATCCATACAAGGTCAAACCAACCTATGGGATATAGAACCTGTCAAGGTTGAATGTGCATTATAGTATTTAAGGTGAATTTATCACAGTTTCCAATTCTAGTCATAGGATTATTAAGTGACTTTGACTTCATATATAACTTGGGTATTGACAATAGATAAGTACTGATTTACATAAATACACTCTGTGGAAAAAGTTACTACAGTCAAAATATGAATGAAATGAAAGACCAGCCTCTTTGCTCATATTGTCAAATTTGTGAGGTAGGTCCATCAGTTAGTGAACCACCTCCTCCAGATGGTCACACACATCACACCCTAATTTCACCTTATGTCTTGTATAGGACGCCTCCTGCACTACCGGTATATCTGTGGTATGTGCCTACACAGATGTAGTGCAGACTGGTGACAAGTGTGGGCAATATATTGGAAGGTTGATTTTCCCCAGGCTCTTACAGCCACAAAAGAGCATCTACTATAGCCACAGCTTCCAAGTTCCAATAATGAGATATTTAAAGTGATTTTATCTTCCTTGACAGAGCGCAGAAAGATAGCTCGCATATGTGCTCTCTTCAAAGCATACACGGGAGAATGGGCTTGGAAGGCTATAGGTGACAGATTAGAAACACCATGCTATCTGAGCAGGGGTGATCATGGCAAGAAAATTAGGAGTAGAAAGCAACGGACAGATATCGGGAAATACTCCTTTGTAAATAGGACCTACAGCTCTGGAACCAACTACCTGCAGATGCTTTAGGTACTCTGTCCTGTAAACCAAGCAATTTTAGGCAAAGGATTAGGAAAGTGATAAATGAGACGAAGTGAAGTTGGGGTGGAAATAATTAAAAAGAAAAAAAATTGCAGTGAAGTGAATGACATTACGCATCCATGACTGTTGGTTTCCTTTTGTTTGTGTTTTGGGTGTTGTATTTTTTTTATCTCTCTCTCTGTAATTGTTGTGGTATTTGTTGCAGTTGTTTGTATTTCTCTGTAATTGTTGTAGTTGTTAATCGTATTTGGTTTGTATTCATTGTGGTAGGATGTCCTTGTTGTTGTTGTATTTGTTGCAGTTGTTTGTATTTCTCTGTAATTGTTGTAGTTGTTAATCGTATTTGGTTTGTATTCATTGTGGTAGGATGTCCTTGTTGTTGTTGTATTTGTTGCAGTTGTTTGTATTTCTCTGTAATTGTTGTAGTTGTTAATCGTATTTGGTTTGTATTCATTGTGGTAGGATGTCCTTATTGTTGTGTTTTGTGTATTGTGTTTTGTTTGAACGTGTTGTCACTTAGTGTAATGTGTGTTACTTGTCTGTTGTGTCCTATTGTGTACTACTGCCACCGGGCTAAAACCCAATTGCAGTATAATAAATAATATATATGTAACTAACTCTGGTGATGATAATGAATGAATGAATGTACAAGGGTAGGGCCTTCTCGGCCCTTGCAGCGCTACCACAATGATCTATTGTGCCTCTCTTCTGATCCTGCACAGGATTTTGTATGTGGGGACGTCGAAATAGACACTTGGTTCCATAAAATATTAACCCAAGTGACAATCTTAAATAAGCTAAGGCCTCACATTCACACAGGATATGTGTGGCTGTTTCATTTCCTTCTTGACACCTCTCACAAGTTGGACTGTTACTTAGTCTCAGTTTAAGCGGCCTCCGTAGTCTAGAGGTAACGTTCCCACCTCATGACTCGTAGTACGCGGGTTCAAATACCTGGCGGAGGTCGTCGAATTTTTAAGGGTGGAAAAATTCAGGGAACAAGTCCTCCAGGAGGGACTTTAAGCCGTGGGTCCCGTGTTGTGGCTTTACGGCACGTAAAAGAACCTCATATCTCCAAAGGAGGTCACTGAGCCAAATTACCGGACGTTTCCCGCCCAACAGCAGTCTCTAATACCTCTGGTAGATGGAGGAAGCGTTATAGATACCTCTCAGCTAGTAGAGCCGGTCTCGATGGCTGGGCGGGACTGTTTGTAAGCACCAGTATCGGTAGGATATAGAGACTGGTAGAAATCATAGAGGGCAGCACAATGGACCAATACAGGTCTCAGTGCATGGGGAAACCCACCCTCTCCAATAACTAACTAACTAGTCTCAGTTTGAAGAGGTGTCCTTTAAGGTGACAGTGTCCTGCAAGTAGTCCAGTAGTAGCTGGTTCCTGTTTAACTTCAACAGTTCCTTTGTTCTTTTAGTAGAGGGTCCTTGTATGAGTCCCTTTACTTGCCTGAATCCAGTCAAGGATCCCCAGTATTTCTTGTGATTCAGCATCTACTATAACTGCAAGCTAGCACCAGACAGAAGATGTGAAACATCCTTTAACAGTTCTTCTTTTATGTCAGCTTCTACTTCATAGTAATAGGATTCTTAAAGTGATTTTGACTTTATACATAATTCTGGTGATGATAAAAGTTGGCTATATATTCTCTTAATTACACTTAAGAGAATACATTATTCAAGTGATACAATGATGGTTGACTGGTTTCTAATGACGAATTTTGACAGTTAAGCCATGTGGACATTTCTAACTCAACTAGTTGTTATATTTTAACTCATTCCCTAATTCAACCCCACTTGAACAGTTACGTTATCTGGTATATTTTAGCTGGTTTAGCTGATTTCAGATTGTTTGCACTCTTGACTATCAGAGTTCTTCTCATTCATGAAAAAAAGGTGGCATCAAGAAGATGAGTAGAGAAAACTATGGGTTATAAAGGTCTTTGCTTTCTCTCATCCATTATTATGGCTCAATTTTTCTTTCACAAGTTGTGAATATAGAACTTTGGATCCTCGTTTAATTTCCCTTCCAAATGAAATTGTGCTATGGACTTCTACTGCCCTTAAAAATCCCTCAAACTCAGCCTTAAGTCCTATGGTAAGCACGTTACCACTAGACAAATCAGACAGTGACAATATGAGTGAAATGAAGAACCATAGTCTTTATTCAAACTGTCATGTTCACATTCAAGCTTATACACTTCCTCAACTGCCTTCTCAAAGTCATTAACAGCCTCACACATAATTCTATCCTTCAATGCTGAACAATATGCCTCATGCTCAAGGGGCAGATTTGTGCGTGGAAATCAGTGTTCAGAGCTTGTGCCAACAAACAACACATGTTGGGTGAATTGGTGACATATGTGTGCTGAATGTTAGTAGCATGATTTTCTTCAGTCTCTCACAGCTGGAAGAAAATTTCTGCTGTAAATGTGAACTAGCATGAAACAGAACATGGATTATAAGTAGTAAGGTGATTTTATAACAGTCTCCAAATTCCAGTCATACAAATTTTTTACATAATTTTGACTACATACAAAACTCAGTTATTGATGATGAATGACTACTGATTCACATAAGTACACGATATGTGTAAAGATGTTGAAGTGAGAATGTGAATGGAATGAAAGACCAACCTCTTTGCTCACTTCATTAGATTTGAAAGGCAGGCCCATCAGTCGAGGAATCCTCTCCTCTAGGCTGCCATATATGTCACGGCTCAATTCCACTTTATGTCTTATACAAGGTGCCTCCTGCACCACCGGTATATCTGTGGTATGCCCTTCATCATCTGCAGCGTGTGCCTACACAGAATATAGAACATAGAGAGATGTTGGGAGAAATATTGACAAATATGAGCAAGGTTGATTTTCCCCAGGCTCTCACAGCTGCAAGAGGCAGCTACTCAAATTATAAACTAGCATGTAACAGATTCTGTGGAATATAGTTCAAAAGTATTTTTATGCCAGATTCCAGGTACTACTATTAAGATTTTTAAAGTGATTTTGTCTTTGTACTTATCTCTGGTGTTGAAAATATTTGGGTATGTATTCCCTTAACTACATTCAAGGGAAAACATCATTTAAGTGATAGTTTGAGCGTTAGTTGGTTTCTAATGATGCGCTTTGACAGATAAGCCAAGTGGACATTTTTATCTACAGTTAGTCGTTATAACTGGACCCCAGTTGAGCAGTCACATTATCTGGCATATTTCAATTGATTTACGTGATTTCAACTTGTTCTCACTCTTGTCCATCAGAGATCTTCTAAGTCATGCAACCATGGTGGCATCTAGAAGCAGAGTAGGGAAATTTATGGGTGACAGTTGTTCTCTATAATTTTGCTTTTTCTCATTTATTATCCTACAGAAAATATATGTCATGGGTCCCTGGTCCTTCTTCCCTTGCAAAGTAGGTTGTGCTACCAACATTTATTGCCTTAAATATCACTCAACCTCATCTTTAACTCAAATGGTGAGCATGTTACGGCTAGACTAATCAGACAGTGACAATATGAGTGAAATGAAGAACCAACCTCTTTATTCAGATTGTCATGTTCACATTCTAGGTTATCCATTTCTTCAATTGCTTTCTCCAGCTTACTAACAGTCTCACACATAATTCTATCTTTGGAGGCTGAAGAAGATTCCTCTTGTCCTATAGGCAGATCTGCATTGTACAGATCATTATCCAGAGCTTCTGCCTACAAAAGACATAATATACACAGCAATGATTAGTAAATTGGTGACGTGGGCTGAATGTTTGAAGGACAATTTTCCTCAGGCTTCACATTTTAGTCATATGATTTTTAAGTGATTATGCCTTCATAAATAATTCAGGTGTTGATAACAGATCAGTACTGACTCACATAACTACACTCTATGGGCAAAGTTATTGAAGTGAGAATATAAATGATGTGAAAGTCTAACCTCTTTGCTCAGATTGTTACTTTTGTGAGGCAGGTCCAACAGTTGGTTAATCACCTCCTCCAGATGGTCACATATGTCACACCCCAACTTCACCTTACTTCTTGTACAAGATGCCTCTTGAACCACCGTGAAATCTGCAGTATGCCCCTCGTCATCTGCAGCATGTGCCTACACAGAATATAGTAAGAACAGTGATGTTGGGCATACTGGTGACAAGTGTGGGCAAAAAAATGGAAGGTTGATTTTCCCCAGGTTCTCACAGCTGTAAAAGACCTTCCACTATGAACACAAACTGGCATGTGATGGAATCTCTATAATATAGCTTGGCACTGCTTTTATAACTAAGATTTTTAAAGTGATTTTTTTTTACCTAACTCTAGTAATGATAAGAGTTGGTTATGTATTTGGTTATCTACACTCAAGTGCATGTATTTTTGATGTGATAGAATGATAGGTGGTTGGTTTATGACGTTTTTTTATTGACAGTTAAGCTATATGGACTTTTCTATCCTCAACTTCTTTTTATGTTTGTAATTCATTCCCTAATGGGACCCTACTTGCACAAGTTACATTACCTAGCATATTTCAGTTTGTGTCTAGGGGCAGATTAGGGAAATCTGTTTTTGATAAACGTTGTGTCTAATTTTGCCATCTCTCGTCCATTAACATGGTACACATGTTCTTTCATAAGTAGTAAATATAGGACCTGGGACACTGGCTTTATTTCTCTTCCAATGGAAGATGTGCTATGGACTTCTATTGCCCTTAAACATCCCTCAACTTCAGCCTTAAGTCCAATGGTGGGAATGTTACCACTAGACCAATGAGACAGTGGTAATATGAATGAAATGAAGAACCAACCTTTTTATTCAGACTGTCATGTTCACTTTCCAGCTTATCCACTTCCTCAGCTCTCTTCTCCAAGTCATGAATAGCCTAACAAACAATTCTATCCTTCAGTGACAGGCAGGGTTACTCCTGTTCTACTGTCAGATTTGTGGTGTGCAAATCAACGTCCACAGCCTGTGCCTACAGACAACATATTATACAGAGAGATGATGTGTGAATTGCTGACAAATATGGACTGAATGTTCATAGGATCATTTTCTTCAGGCTCTCACAATTGCAAGAAAATTTCTACTGCAAATGTGAATTAGCATGCAACAGGATGCAGATTATAACTGGTAAGATGATTTTATGACAGTCTTCAAGTTCTAGTCATAGGGTTTTCTTTACATGATTTTGCCTTCATAAATAATTCAGGTGTTGATAACAGATCAGTACTGACTCACATAACTACACTCTATGGGCAAAGTTATTGAAGTGAGAATATAAATGATGTGAAAGTCTAACCTCTTTGCTCAGATTGTTACTTTTGTGAGGCAGGTCCATCAGTTGGTTAATCACCTCCTCCAGATGGTCACATATGTCGCACCCCAACTTCACCTTACTTCTTGTACAAGCTACCTCCTGCATCACCTGTACATCTGTTGTATGCCCCTCATCATCTGCAGCAAGTGCCTACACAGAATATAGCACATACAGTGATGTTGGATGTACTTGTTAAAACATCGATAATATGTTGGAAAGTTCATTTTCCCCAGGCTCTGACAGCTACAAGAGGGCATCTACTATGCAAACTAGCAAGTGAGAGAACCTTTTGTACTCGTATACCCTTTAACAGCTGCTTTTATGTCAGCTTCCAATTTCTAGTAATAGGATTTTTAAAGTGCTTTTAACTTCATACCTAATTCTAGTGATGTTAAAAGTTGGCTATATATTAACTTATCTACACTGAAGTGAATACATTATTGAAGTGATAGAATGATGTTGGTTTCTAATGCCGCATTTTGACATCTAAGCCATGTGGACTTCTTTGTCCTCATCTGGCATTTAATCTTATATCTCATTAACTAACATTACCCCATTTTGGCCAGTTATGTTATCTAGCATAATTTCATTTGTTTTAGGTGATTTAAACTAGTTCTCACTCTTGTCCATCAGAGGTCTCTTCAGTTGTGGAACTATGGCAGCATCTAGGAGCTGAGTAGAGCTCTACTTCCCTTCTGAAGGAAGTTGTATTATGGACTTGTATTGCCCTTTAATATCCCCCAACCTCAACCTGTCCAATGATGAGCATGTTAACACTAGATCAATGAGACAGTTACAATATGAATTAAATGAAGAAGCAACCTCTTTATTCTGACTGTCATGTTCACATTTCAAATTCTCCATTTCAACTGCTTCCTCCAGTTTATTAGCTGCCTCACACATATTTCTAGCTCGGATGCTGAACTATGTGCTTGCTGTTCTAGGGGCAGAGCTATGGTGTGCAAATTATCATCCGTAGTTTGTGCCCACAAACAACACATTACATACAGAGATGCTGGGTGAACTAGTGACACATGTTGTATGAATATTTGGAGGATGATTTCCCTCAGGCTTTCACAGATGCAAGAAAGCTGCTATTGTAGCTGTAAACTAGCACACAACAAAACGTTGTTTGTAGATGGTGAGGTGATTTTACGACAGTTTCCATTTTGTAGTCATAGATTTTTTACATGATTTTATTTTCATTTATATCTCTGGTGTTCATAATAAAAGAATAGATCCACAGAAGTACACACTTTGGAGAAATTATTGAAGTGATAATGTTAATAAAACGAAAAACCAACCTCTTTACTTTGCCGCGCCATAGCTAAAGCGGTTAGTCGCTGGCTTCCCACCGCGGTGGCCCAGGTTCGATCCCGGGTCTGGTCAGGTGGGATTTGTGGTGGACAGAGTGGCGCTGGGGCGGGGCAGGCTACAACAGGCCAATCAGTGGCCGCCGTGCCAAGTGGACCCAGTTGGACTCCCCCCCCCAATAAGCGAATTTCTTTACTCGTGTTGTGACATTCATAAGGCAGGTGTTCCATTTGGTCTATCAGCTCCACTGTCTGTTTTTTTTAATTCACTTAGTGGGAGGTGGAGACCAACTGGGTCCACTCGGCATGGCGGCCACTGATTGGCCTATTGTACCTGCCCCAGGTGACTAAGATGATGGAGTATTTGGTGGAATGAAGATTGGCAAGGGAAACCGAAGTAATCGGAGAAAACCCGCCCCAGCGCCACTTTGTCCACCATAATTCCCACTTGATCAGACCCCGGATCGAACCCAGGCCTCTGCAGTGGGAAGCCAGCGACTAACCGCTTGAGCTATGGAGCGGCCTCCACTAGCTGGTTACACAACTCATACATGACATCCATCTGACATCTTGTACAAGATGCTTTCTGATGTGTGGTGTGTACCTTATCACTAGCACCTCTTGCCTATAGGGAAAACAATATGTGCATAAAATATATTGGATTAACATATTCATTCATTCATCAGTAATCTGTCAGATGACAGGTCCACAGCCTCTTCCAAAACAGTTTCTCCACTTAATGCGATCTTCTGTTTTTGGAAAGAGACTATCCAGGAATAGTGATAATGTGGTAGTTTTTCCATTTGCTTTCCACATCGCAGTACAACAGCCGTTCACAGTACAACAGTCACGCCTGTTGCTATACGAACTTGAACCATCTCGAGCATTATTTTCTCTGTGCTTCAAGTCACCGCTGATGACGCTGCTTCCGGCATCAGTTTTCGGTGTCTCTCTTCGTCTGATGCCTACCCTTTGACCTGTCCAGCAAGGGAGGCCCTGCCAGTAGCTACGCTACCGCTGGTATAGCTCTCAGGGTCCTTGGCATACTCAAACACCCTCACCACGATAAGGTGGAGACACCAACATATTATACGAATATATAATATCAGAAATATGTTGGGAGAATGATTTTCCCAATGGACTCATAATTGCAAGGCAGATTCTTTTGTAGCATGTAACAGTAAATGTGGAATATAGTTAGCACAGTGCTTTTCTTCCAAATTCTAATGATTGAATTTTTATGGCCACTTTCTCTTGATGCCTATCTCATGTGAAGATTATAAATCGATATAGTTTGATGTTAGTAAACTCAAAGGGAACCGTTATTCAAATAAAAGTACACTATGAGAAAACTGAATATGACCCACCAATTCTAACTTCTGGACTATAACGCCATTTAGTCTGTTGAAAGTTAACAGACGTTTTGGAGGAATATGAAGCCTCCATCTTCAGGGTTTAAGAATAAGCCACGTGCGCCAAACACCGGCAACTAATAAATACAAAGCTCTATACCCAACCCTTCTAATATAATCTTCCTGTTTCGTGAGCATAGCTTCCAACCACGGTATCTAAATGAAGGGCTATTCTAGTGACAAATCCGAATATTAGAAGAGCCACAAGAAGCACTTCGATCACTTTTGATTCATTCATATCGATCAGTGGCAATTCTTGCGCGAATTATAAATGGAAAGCTCATCAAACGAAGGGTAAAACCACTTGGGGCCAGGACTGCAGACACGACACATGAGAGGTACAACAGCGGACCAAGATCTTCATGTAGACTGTTAATTGTTACTGTTTTCATATTTTACCCATTATCGTTACACGTATACAAATTTTAGTAATATTCCGCAGTACAAAATATAACGAAAATCCATTTGGTGGTTCCCAAATTGCTGTATACGGACAGATAGGACGAAGCTATGATTCATTTCTGTTGTAGATTTTCGCTGTGTATAATTAGAATGATAAAGTCAAGGAGGATGAGGTGGGAAGGTCATGTAGCACGAATGGGGAGACGAGGAATGCGTATAGGATATTGGTGGGAAAGCCAGAAGGAAAGAGATCACAGGGAAGACCAAGGCGTAGGTGGGTGGACAATATTAGAATGGATCTTAGAGAGATAGGATGGGATGGTATGGATTGGATAGATCTGGCTCAGGATAGGGACCAGTGGAGGGCTCTTGTGAACACGGTAATTAACCTTCGGGTTCCATAAAATGCTGGGAAATTCTTGAATAGCTGCAGAATTCGCGGCTCCTCCAAAAGGGCTCAGCTCCATGAGTGAGTAAGTAAGTAAGTAAGTAAGTAAGTAAGTAAGATGAGCACTGTGAACGCGGCTAAAAATACCTTGAGTGCAGCAAGTGTACACCCTCCGGAAGGCCAACATTACTTTGAAACCAGTTTCGACTATGGAACACGCAATTTCTCTCTGCAAAATTCTGATCTCTTCGAACATTTCCTGCATAGTGACAGATTGCCATTTTGGATCACATTAAAATAACAGTTTATTTCTTCGGAACACTAAGAATCCAGTAAGAGTTTGACTTTATGGTAATAGAATCTTGCAACTGGCTAGATATCTGAGTCAAGTTTACAATATCCAATAGCCATTTAAGTATTCTGAAAATCTGTAAATGAGAACTTAAAAGGAAAAACATACATACATATATGTATTTATATACAATGCTGCATATACGAATAGAATGGAAATTCTTTCTTAGAAGAATCATCTGTGATACCGTTGAAGAACATCCCCTATCGTTTTTAGGCAACGGTTCTGTTGCTAGGCAATGTCTAGGTAAACACGCTCCCGCGGCAACGAATGCGCACGCAACAAAAGAAGAATTGCTGAACACATCGTTTTCTATGACGTCCTGGTAGTAGCAAAGGAAATTCTGTATGTCTGTATGTGTACCCCAGATCATTGCTTGGCAACGGCTCAGTAAACACATTCCCTCTGCAACAAAGGATTGTTGGACGAGTCGTTCTCTATGCAGTTCCTGTCGTAGGAAATTAGATCCTCCCAGAACTCGTTTAATTCCGACCTCAATGAATTTCAGTTTTTAAAAAGACAATTCTCCTTCGGTCACTGACACATTTAATGCCATATATTCATTTTCATGTGTATTTTATGTTAAAGGATAGTTCGGACTGTATAGCGACGGGCAACAGGTCGGACGGCCAGGGTTCGATTTCGAAAAGGGGAAAAGACTGTTCTCCTCTCCATGGCGCCCAGACAGGCAATGGGGCCTACTCGGCCTCGTACCCATTGAGCACTAGAGCTTTGTCCCCGGCGGTAAAACGGCCGGTGCTTGATGATGATTAGTGACCTCTAGCTAGTGCCGAGCTTCAGAATGATGGAGCTATACCACCAAATCGCCATGAGTTTTCACGGCGTAGTGCTTAATTAATTAAGCACAGGGACAAGCTTACGCTTTACTTTAGGTATTTAAATATGATTTGAAATTACCACCCAGATATTTGCTATTTGTTTATTTATATAATTTAGTCCCATGATGATAGTTATATTATGAGTGAATATATGAGTGTATGCGGGATGGAATATTGTTTGAAAAGCAACTAGAAGTTCTGGTAAGAGCTAACCGTCTACATTCCTTTCAGACTACACGGGCCGTATAGAAGATGACGCCTTCAACAATTCTCCTATTGTTCCCAGCGTATTCGTTTACGCTGTAACGTTTTTACTGAGCCGTTGCCTAGCAACGATAGGATACTCGGCCCTTGCACCGCGACCTACAGTGATCTATTGTGCTTTATGGAATTCTTATTTTACTGTATGCTAGAAGGATTTGTCAAATCCTACGAACACAATTGCAGAATGATTAATCTGCTTATACTTACGGCCATCTTTGCCGTCTTTGCCATCTTTTTCTAAACCACCGAACACATCCAAACCCTAGACCTTCCTTGTTTTGTGACTCTGTGCTCACAGAAGAACTGTATTTATTATATTCTGAGTCAGGACCTTGAAAATAACCATGGAAACCAAGCAACAACAACAATGGAGTTTTCTTATTGTTGCCTGCGTATTCATTTCCTCGGTAACGTTTTTACCAAGCCGTTGCCTAGCAAAGATAGGGAGCAATACGTACAGACACGCAAACTGATGTGAGGGATTTTTGAAGTTCGCCGTTGGGATGGGCTCAGGTGCCATGATATACATATCAAGTTCAATAGAGGCTGGATCATGCAAACAAAATGCAATAGAGTGAGTTCCGTGTGGAGGCGGGGTCGAGTAACTCCACCGTAGCCCTGCGAGTCGTAAGAGGCGACGAAAAGGGAACCAAGTACCTGGTGATATAACCGGGCCACCCTGTTTCTGAGGGTTACAAATACGGGGACCTCGTCCTCCAGGTCAGGAGAGTCTCGAATCTGAGACGTTTTTGGTCATGAGTCCCGTGGGACTCGGACCTAAGAATGACTGCGCTGACGAAGCCCAGCATCAACTGGAAAAGACAGACCCATCCTCTCAACTGCAAGTATTCAAGAGGAAAATAAAATTACTGGCCGTGAGTCTCAAAGGACTTGTCGCCAAGAACTGATTGAGGGTAAACCGCCATCATTCCCAAACATTTGAACTGTGCCACATTTTCAAAGGCCTCTGTGGTCTAATGGTCAGCGTTCCTGGCTACAAATCCAGAGGTCCGGGTTCGATTCCCGGAGCTACCAGATATTTTCTGAGTAGTGGGTCTGAAACGGGGTGCACTCAGCCTCGTGATGATAATTGAGCAGCCGTGGGGATTCGTTGCGCTGACCACGCGACATCCTCTATCCGCAAAAGTAGGCACTAAACTTCGCCGACAAGCGACGGTCGGTATAGTTCGCTTGCGGACTAAAATCACGGAGGTTTTTTTTTTCTGTTATCGATCTTTCTGTCATGGCTTTACCCTCCACTCTGGTGACGAGACAGCAACATATATATTATATTTAGTTCTCTCTGTGTTTACTTCTAGATCAACCTTCTTACTACCGTCAAAGTGCCTGTATTTTTTTATGGTATCTGTGTTATCATGCAGTACATTTACATCATCTGCATAGGCCAGAAGCTGATGTGTTTCAATTAATTTCAGTCCCACCTGGTTCTCCTGGACCTTCCTAATGGCATATTCTACAGCAAAGTTGAAAAGCAGTGGCGATAAATAATCTCATTTTAGAATATTTTGGATAGGAAATCATAATATATTAAACTGCATAATGAGGAGCTTCATAACTTGTACTCTTCTCCAAGTATAATTAGAATGATCAAATCAAGGAGGATGAGGTGGGCGGGGCATATAGCACGAATGGGGGAAACGAGGAATGCGTATAGGATATTGGTGGGAAAGCCAGAAGGAAAGAGACCACTGGGAAGACCAAGGTATAGGTGGGTGGGCAATATTAAATTGGATCTTAGAGAAATAGGATGGGGTGGCATTGATTGGATTGATCTGGCTCAGGATAGAGACCAGTGGAGGGCTCTAGTGAGCACGGTAATGAGCCTTCGGGTTCCATTAAATGCTGGGAAATTCTTGAGTAGCTGCAGAATTGGCAGCTCCTCCAGAAGGGCTCAGCTCCATGAGTAAGCAAGTAATCATAATGTATTAAAATGTTTATATTACAGAAGGTAAAGTTGACACCGTGCTTAATTAGTAAAGCGCTATGCCATGAAGACATATGGGGGAGTGGAGGTATAGCTCCACAATTTTTGACCTCAGCACTAGATGGAAGTTAGTGGTTAGTTTCACGCCTTTGCCACTTCACTCCTGGGGGAGGCTTGGTGGGAAACAGAGTTGGTCTGGCACTGTTAAGAGAAAATCTTTCACTGCTGGGGAATGAGCCCAGGCCACCAGCCCATAGCTATACCGACTCATAAAATTCCTTTTTCTTAAAAGGGGTTACATGGAAATTTATGTCATTCTGTGTTTATTATACATCACTGTCACTTGTATTTACTTTTAACCTAGATTTATTGTGCCACTGCTTAAATACTATTCTTAATTTATTTCTAGACATACATACATAATGCTGTATTATACTAATAGGTGTTGGTATGCTTTGTTTCTTGTATGGTGAAGCTTTATTACTGTCTGACCATTCAGTCAGTGTCATCAACATCCATGTTTAGGACATAGTGTGTAATTACAAGATTACAAAGCTTTTGAAAAAGGTTCCTTTGAAATTCTGGTATCTACATACCAAACGATATTGCATCACATTGCAGGTCATAATCTTAGCAATCACCATCATAACCTCAAATCTCTCAAGACCAAAACATATGTCAAATAAATGTGACTACATTGTATAAAAGTGGTTCATTAACTGATAAAAACAAAATATTGTTATAAAACATAGAATAAATTGTCAACTGTCTGACTTCAAGTACAAATTTCAAACGGCCTGTAGTTAATTTTCAGTTTCATATATTGCATTGGTGTAAAGTTTATTTGATGCAAATTACAATACAACATTTGAATTCTTCCTATGTACGCTGGAACTGTGACTCACTGATGTTTGCTATGGCCTGTGAAATTCTCTCTCGAAGGTACTGTGGAATTACAGGTTGGTATATCTGACCTTTCACAAATTCCTACAGGGAGAAGTCACATGGAGTAAGGTTCAGGAATCTAGGGGGCCAAGGAATTGGTTCTTCTCCTTCTATCCAAGCCTCCAGCAGGTTTTTGGACAAGAAGTCTCTCATAGCCATACAGAAATGAGGCATAGCTCCATTCTGTTGGATATTGAGTTGGCCCAGGAAATCTCCTTTTAACTGGGGCCATAGCTATTCATAACAGTGACAGTAGCTCCAACATTGAAAAACGGGCCATACACTTTCGTTTTTGACATAGCACAAAACACACTGACTCTTGGCAAGTCATGGATAACTCACACTATGACATGTAGTTGCCAAGTTCTCCTGATGCCAACATTCAAAATCAGGAAGTTTAAAAAACAAACAACAAAACAGACTCCATGGCCTGTAGTCTGCGAACTATACCGACCGAGCAACAGCCTCTTTTCGGCGAAGTTAGTTAGTTATTTGGAGAGGGTGGGTTTTCCCCATGCACTTAGACCAGTATTGGTCCATTGTGCTTCCCTCTATGATATTCTACCAGTCCTATACCTTACCGATATTGGTGCGTACCATCAGTCCCGACCGAGCCAGCGAGTTCGGCCTCTACTGGCTGAGAGGTATCTACAATGCTTCCCCCATCTATCAGAGGCGTTAGAGACTACTGTTGGGCGGGAAATGTCCTTGAATTTGGCTCAGTGATCTCCTTTGGAGATATGTTCTTTTACGTGCCGTAATGCTATGACACGGGACCCACGACTTAAAGTCCCTCCTGGAGGACTTGTTCCCTGAATTTTTCCGCCCTTAAAAATTCCACGACCTCCGCCAGGTTTGAACCCGTGTACCATGAGTCACGAGGTGGGAACGTTACTTTCGGCGAAGTTAGTGCCAACTTTAATGGATAGAGGGTGTCGCTTGGTCAGTGCAATGGGTCCCCATGGCCGTTAATCTGTTTTCTTGACCAGAGCTGCTAATTCCTTGAAACAGCTCCTAAATTATCCTCACGAGACTGGTGGACCAGGTTCCAGACTCACTACTTCTCAGAAAATCTTGTAGCGCTGGGAATCGAACACAGGACTTCTGGATCTGTAGCCAGGAACTCTGACCACTAGACCACAGAGGCAGCCGGCAGTCACGAAATGTCGCATCAATTTCAAATTGCTCGATCATGTCTTCACAAAACGCTTTTCATTTAATCTTATCATAAGTCAGTTGCTGCACAAGTTGGAGACGTTATGGCTTAAACTGAAGTCTCTTCTTCAGCACTCTCCATAGCATAGGTTATGGGGCATAAAGTTCCCTATGGGCTGGTACAGCTGACTTTCACCAACTTTTCATGAACATGATCAACAGTTTCTATGCTAGAATTCTGCTGGCCAGTGCTTTTAATCTTTCATATACACCCTCCATCTAGAAACTTCCTATACCATCCCATGACTCGGTCAGCTTTAGATGGTTCATTAACACACATCATTCTGAAGCTTCACAGAACTTCTCATTGACCTTACCTTGTGTAATCACAAGCAAAACTGTGGAGTTTGCACTCCAGATAAAATTCTCCTTCGGTGGTGACTGGAGCACCACTTGTGGCTAACATATTACAATCAATGTCACCAGTGAAAACTTCATGAGTTTCCAGTCTGTTTTTGAAGTTGTTTCATGTTTGTATTTGTAACCGTTTAGAAAGCACTTAACTTTGTTATCATTCAAATCATTTATCCGTATAATTAAGCATTATGATATGACGGCATGTGGCAGAGTGGAGGTATAACTTTGTCATTCTTATCCTTGGCACCATACGGAGGCGAGTGTTCAGCTACACACCCTAGCCACTTTACCCATAAGGACGGAGCTCTCAGGTACCCATTTGATGCGAGGATGGGTGGACCCCAGTGCTGGTCTTGTCTGTATGGCAAAGAGAAAAATCTCTTTCCCCCGCATGAATCCAACTCTGGTCATCCAGCCTGAAGAACAGTCACTATACTGACTGAGCTATCAAGGCTTCAGGTCACCATTGTGAGCATCTCAAATCCCAAAATGAAAGAATGTTTAGATCCTGCAACAGATGGTATGGAAAGTGAAATATTTATGGAGAATATATATTTGAATTTATTCATTTCACCACTTTCGACCCAAATTACATGGGTCAGTTTTTTCAATCTTATTATATTTACATTAGGGCACACCTTTACAATGATTGTACAAAGGAAGATATCAATTCTCCTTAACAAAATTCATCAAACACAAATTTATGCATGGCAAATATATATACATATATACACATATACATATATATTGGCCAAAATAAAAAAATTAAAAGGATATGTTTTTAAAGCAACAACAAGCTTACACTCCAAGTGGGATTTGACTGCCATGCAAATTAAAATCTCTTCATATGCAAATAAAAATGCCACTTCATCAATCTAGATGTATTCACAAATGTATTCATTTTTTTTCACCTATTTTTACTCATCAAATTTGTTCACATTCTTTTAAATCTCACATATTTTCTCTCTCTCCTAGGTTTGTCTTCAATGGTCCCGATCTCAAAAGCGGTCATGGGAAGTTCAATAAAAGGACACACAACATAACTATTTGTTAAAATATTTTAAATTACAGCTAGAAGTATATAAACTCCTTCCGGAAATATTTATAAGCTGGTTTAATCTGAGCAAGTAGAAGCATAGAAGAATTTTCATTTTATTGAACTTGTGAAATTATGAGCCCCAAGCTCTGATTCAGGATTAACTGAGCCCAGTTCTAAATTGGAATGGGGAAAGAATGATACCAACTGCACCTAACAGCAGAATTAAAAAAACCCATTCCAATTTGGATGCGTTTTGATGAAAAGCTGTGCTTATAGGTAAAATATATGTCATCCGCCATCAATAGTGATGTTGTGTCCAGCATGTCCTGCACACAGGAGAAAAAAGTTAAGTTCTTTATTTCTGATTCCTTAACAGTGGACGAAAAGAAAGAAACGTGTTCAAATATGCGACAAAACAACACAATAACACCACCACCACCAACTTGTGCAGTGGACAGGCTGATGACCAAAGGAGAAATTGTAAAAATATATAATACGAGCATAAATGTATGTTTGGAGCCATTACTGCATAAGGTATTCCACAACGAAAGTATGCTCATTTACCACCTGCTTTATAAACAGAACTTATTTCATGTTCAATTCTGAAGCAGATCCAACCATTATTGTATCACACAGCAGAATTTAGTTTCTGAAATTAAAAAATCCATAAATTAAATCCCTGCTAAGAAAGCTTATTTCATCTGTTCACATAATTTGTTTAACTTTATTACTGCAAAGTCAGAAAGACCTTTAAGTATCCAAAGTCACTTTAACACGAGACAATTGATTCTTCGGAGTAATGCAAGAAACACTATCCCATGGCACTCATAATTCTAATTTGCAAATCACATATCTTCAACTTACTTAAATCCTAAATATAAACCACATAGTTTCTGACAACCTTTCCATGTCTGCTCACCAGTTCTATGAAGAAGAAATGAAGCAATGCAAATCAGGAATGATAAGATATAATGTATGAATTCGTAGTAATAAAAATTTGCTTTATATAGTATTATGTTTTAATAAATGTTAATGAATGAACATAAAATTACAGTTCATTCCATAAAATTTTACATCTTGCAGGCCATTAAGATCTAAAATCTGACAAAAGTCCAAAAACATCAAAAAGCATACATCAAAATGACATAAAATGAAGTCTGTTTCCATTCCTCAGGTGGAGATGTGAAACTGCTCTCCTTCTTCAGGTACAAAAATGTTCTGTATAGACAAATTATAATTTTGTGTGTTATATATTTCATTCTGGATCCGTTGAGAACTATAAATGGCAATAATGAGCAAACAATCAAATTTAACCCAACTCTGGTTGAATTTTGGAAACTATATAAAAACCAGTAAAACTATCGTTACTCTTGTGTCTGGGTGTTTTTATAAACATATATAACTCTTCTCTCACCAATCATCTGAATATATGAGAAGTATGTTTATACATTTTCCCAATGAACTTCTGTAGTAATGGGAAAATGTGTTGATATACACAGACTCCTTCACTTAAATGTGAAATACCATTCTCTATCATACTGTGGTTTTGATATCACACACCACACAAGTCAGTGCTGTACATGAACTTTACTACAGCTGCATGTGGTGTCCATTACTTGCATGCTACATGCTTGACCCATATAGTCAGCACTGAGTCTCATATTCCCTTATCCTGTGAAAAGGACAGTTTGTGAGATAAAAGAATATGAGGTCTGGTGATGAACATCTAGATCAAAACATGTAGCCTATGTAATGAATACTGTATGTAGCATACATAAAGGTTATATACGAGACATATCCACAAAATAAATTCCGTTTGTAAATACTGCTGCTGCAGTGCTGTGGTCACAATGGTGCACATGCGTTCAGAGTTTGTTGGTTCTCTGGGAAGGCAAGGACGCCATCTGCAGATAATCAGATAGCATTTATGCATCATCCTGTGTGTTTACAATGATCAAGAAAATTGAGAAGCCCACCACATGTGAAATGCAGTCTGTAAGCCATTTCTTCAATACAAGAAACACGAAACCGGCTGACATTCATCGTTAACTTTGTAATGTGTATGGAGAACATGCCACGAGTGATACATCAGTATGGAGATGGGTGAGACACTTCAATGAAGGGCACAAGAATGTGCACGATGATCTGCAGAGTGGCTGACACTCTGTGGTTAATGAAGATTTTGTGGGTGCAGTGGAAGAGAGGATTCAATGCAACAGACGATTCACCATTTCGGCACTTTCCCTGAATTTTCCACAAATTTCACGGTCAGTTTTTCATGAAACTGTATCTGATAAACTTCATTTTTGGAAATTGTGTTCACGCTGGATGCAGAAGATGCTTACAGAAGAACACAAAATGAAACAGCAGGCCAGTGTGATACAGCAAGCAAGGCAATGACTTCTTGAGCTGCAGTCACAGAAGACAAGGCATGGGTGTCACACGTAACCCCTGAATCAAAGCAGCAGTCCATGGAGTGGATGCACACACCATCACCAATACAGAAAAAAATTCAAGCAGACCATTTCAACTCACAAGATCATGGGCACAGTGTTTTGGGCAGAAAACACGTTCTCCTTGTGGAATTCTTGCCTCAAGACTCAACAATCAATGCAGGTGTCTATGAAACTGTGTCATGTCATTCAGAACAAATAACATGGCATGCTCAGTCAGAGTGTTGTGATGCTTCACGAAAATGCCCACCTATACACTGCTACCACCATGCAATATCTCATTGTGACATTTGGCTGGGAACAATTCGATCATCCCCCTACAGCCCAGGCTTAGCGCCAAGTGATTTTAATGTGTTCCTGCATCTGAGAACTTTCTTTGGTGGCTGGCGGTTCCACAACAATGATGAGGTCAAAGAAACCGTTAACATGTGGCTTCCATCATAGGTGGCATCATTCTACAATGCAGAGATACAAAAACTGGTGCCCCGATATGAAAAGTGCCTCCACATTGGTGGAAACTATGTCGAAAAGTAGTGAACGGTATGTACATCAAATAGCAATACAAATTGTTTGGAAATAAATTCTTGTTTGTTTTTTTTTTTCAATAGCCCATCAGTACTTACATTCTGGATAACTCTCATACTATATTGCCTGCAGTGTGGTAACGGTGCAACATACAGCCACCTTCATATGTTATCTTGTCCCTCAATAATTACTGTATGTTGTCACATTAAATAACTTACTAAATGCCTGTCTGATTAATTGAAATTTATATATCAGAATCCTTCCCATAAAATGAAAATAAAAGCAAGTTAATACAGAACTTAAAAAATGCACAAATCAAGAGGTCTTTCAACGTCTGAAGTGGGTCCAAAACTGAGAGAGGATGTTTATGAGAAATATTTATAGAGGAAAAGAGCTGAGTATTCTTACAGCAAAAAAATAATTTATTTGTAATGATAAATCTAGTACGTATCATATGTATGTATCACTGTAGCATAAAATACTCATCTTTCAATGATTCCATTTGTCCAGCCAAGTTCTGAGCCAGAGACGAAGCCCCACACTTATAGACCAAGGCTGTGATAATGTGCTGCCTGGTAACGGCCGTCACACACCTCAGGGGATACAGATAGATGAATATGGAGCAATGATGGAATGATGATAGCAGGAGTAAACTGAAGAATCTTGGAGAAAAACTTTCTCCAACACCACAAATTTCACAGGAAGACATTTGAGACAGAACATGAGGTTACACACTGAGAAGCCAGCATCTTATCACTTAAATTATGGCATGGCTAACAAAATGAAGTATCCAAGTTTAATCACGAACCCATGAAGACATGTAGGTTATGTGGGGGTATGAAATCTTGACCTTAACTTAGGGGAGTGGTTAGCATAATCCTCTGGCCATTTTACATCTGAAGAAAGATTCCCTGGAATACACTTCATAGGTATACAGAGTGGACCCAAGTACAGGTTGCACATGGTGAGAAACAAATTCCTGCTATATCAATTTTAATTATATGTATGAACAGTGTGAATAGCTTGTGATAGAAAGTACTCTCATATGGGATATGTCATCATGCAGTCTGGCAGATTACCAACATTACAGAGGGACATACTACCTCCATATTTAGGGCTGAAGAGCTGGTAGAGTGCTTGTGGCTTGCATGCAGTCAGTTCCCGCAAAATGTTGGTAAACATCTCTCAGACTACATGATGACACATCTCACAAGACTTGTACTCATCATAGTCACCATGATGAACACCTCAAATTTCACATGCTTGTGATGGAATCTGTGTTGAATTTTTTTTTGTATTTTTACTACGAAACATTTCAATTGGAAACAGAGCAGCACTACTTTCAGAATTAGATTACAAGATTCCCTGCCTTGAAACATGCACTGTTCTGCCACTGTTAACATGTGGTTCCATATGGTTCTACTTGGAATGTATAATGGTGATCAACAAGTCATATTTTTTTTTTGTAGCACACAGCAAGCAAACAAAGCTACAGCTCTGAAAAATATGATAGTTATGTACAACACTGTGTTCATCAGCATAACAACAATATAAGTAACTTGGAGTAGTTTATTTATAATTTACAATAAAAATCTTAAATGCTATACCTTTATGCATTTTATGTTCAATAAAGAAAAATATATACGCACACAAAAATTTTCAATTTTAAAATACTTCATGTTTTCAAGAACTCTGAACTGATTAATTCTGGAAATTATAACGGAAATGTGTACTTCTGAATATGCGGAGCGGCTACATATAGGTCATCAGGCTGTCCAACAGTACATTTACAAAAGAATGAAGCAGGTCCTCTAGGAAGCTTTTTTTTTTTTTTCATACATGGAATGTCACTAAAACAAACAAATCAGAAAAAAATGGAGTACCATGTCACATGGTAACATCCTGGACAATGATATCTTTTTATTGATGTTTCACCTCAAATTTTGTCTGCAGGATTGCTATTTTGTTAATATATCTACCAATGTGCCAGCTATTTCCCGATGGAATATGTACTGTTATTAAAAAGTAACTGTGGGTAAAATCTATCACTACGATTCTCTGTGTTATAAGACCACTGTCTTCACTGAAAGAACTTAAGTGTGTGTGTTTTATATATATTTTATACAACTGCAGAAATTTACAGAACACAACAAATATGATATATATATATATGTATATGCAAACTCTACACTGCCACACATCCCTAGGTTAAACTGCACGCAAAAACTGTTCTTTTTTTCTTTTTGTTTCTTTAAAAACCACACAATTTAAACATTTCGCAAGCAGTATCATTTTTCATTTAGATACTATTATCCCCCCTGTTCACTAACCATGTTGTCAAAATTTTGCATAACAAACCCAACTCTTTATAACAGGGTCAAGATCTGCATAGAACCACTAAAAGCCCAACCCAAAGGTTACACCTTCTATACCACAGATTTCAAAAACCTAGTTCACAACTTCATTAGTTCTGTGGATGCACCAGAAGTCTATTAGTTTCTTCATGAAGTGTATATAAAAAAAATTATAAATTGAGCATATGAGTTGTCGAAAATTTGTACAAACACACAACTGCTTACAGGTGTTGCAATTTCATGGGGAAAGGCCAATGCTACTCCCATGATTCAACTTAACATACATGCATACACATACACACACACACACACACAACCCCCCCCCAGCTTCTGCATTCACTACCAGCTAATGTAATGGCGTCACCAAAACTGGAAGCATTTCTGCAATATGAATGTGTTAAGTACCAGGGAATAATTACAGTAACATTCATAGTAATAACAGACTTCAGCAAATATCAAGGAACGACTTGTAAAGTAGGCATCGAAGCCAGCAAGCTTCTATCCTAAGGAAGCATATGAATTACTAGATTCAATAACAGTAAATGAAAAACTTGATTTTCATAAAGTTTTAGTTGGAAAAGTAAAAATCTTACCTAATTCCTATATGTTAAGTTTGCAGACAGCCAGCTATATTCGATGTAGAAGTATGTCAACCATACACATAGTTACATTCTCGGCAGTCAATTATGGTGGGATGTCTCACTTTTTTAAGCTGAATGTGTTTAAGATTTCCTTTCATCTCCCGGTTTGGTTTACAGTCTAATTACACAAACATTATGCCAGTTTCATTAAGCATAAGTTTGCATGCAGTGGTCCTTCAATTCTGTGTTGATCAATTCATTTGTCTTTATGGTCCTATACACCTGTTTTTATATATTAAAATTACCAGTTGTATTTCTGAGGCTCTGATATCGAGATTACAGAGGCAGTTAGGCATATCTGCATTCCCCAGACACAATAAGGCACTGTTTAATTCATAAACAACAACAGAGTTCTTATTCATCACAAAATGTTTCTATCTAGTTCATATAATGAAAATGACAGCAACATTCTAGCCATCAGCTGCAAATGTGCTTATGGAATATACCTCAAGTATTAATAAATAAGGTATGTAAAAGTGATCCTGCACCTTACAAATTATGGACAACTTAACAACACTTTGGTTTGTTCTGAGTATCCCCCGCACCACATTCAAACTCCTAACTCAGCAACAACTCCCTGCCACCTGTAGACTTAATTATGTTTCATTCTGCAGTCACAATTATAGTTTCAAATTTTTTCATCATCCTGAAGCTTCGGATTTAAGTTTATAAAGATATTAGTGGGTTATGTTTCTTAGTAACAGAAGCATCTTTGCACCAAATCTGTTAAAGTCATGTTTCCTTCTTTTCCCTTTGTTTCTTAAATGGTTGAAGATTTGTTATACAGAGTTTCTGGAACTGGATGTAGTTTGCTGCAGTTAGGCACAGGCTCAGCGTAGCCAAGAACAAGAGTCCATACTCCATGGAGAAGTCTGCTAAGTTGCAAAATCAACTCTGTCGCCCCAGCCAAGTGCTGCATTTAGGTCTCCGGCCATTTTGAACTCTGATTCTTCAATGTTGAAGAGATCAAATGGGTCTTGGCTGTTTGATAACAAAGGATCATATGACTCCAATTCAGCATGGTGATGACCATTATGAAGATGGTTATGGCTGAAATGAAATGAACTTCCTTGGTTGGAAGAGGGTGAAAGGAACAAGCTCTGATGTGGAGACAACATCACAGAAGTACTGCCATCTACATCAGCTCCACTACCACCTGTCGAAGCATCTGTAGGGGGCATCAATGATTCCAGCCAGTCAGCATCATCCATGTCCATGGGCATCTCACCAATGTCCATCAGCTCACACGCTTGATGTTCACCTAACTTAGAGGTGCTTGTCTCCCCTCCCACCCCACCTATCTCCATGTCTGTCACAGGATCCAAGAGATCCGATGGTTCTACCTTCACAGCTGGCACACCAAGGTCACCACAGTCAAGCTGGCCGAAGTCCATGGGGTCCAGCGTCTCCAAGTCCAAGCCAAGCTCTTTGAGATCAATGCCTGGGGGTGGTCCCTGCAAGTCAGTGCCCACTACCAGGGGGTGATTCTGTGATTCTTGTTGCTGACAGTCTCCAGAAATGGAAGCATTATCCAGGATGAAGTCCAAGGAGTCTGACCCAGAGAATTGCATGTGAAAGGGGTTGGTGTTGGCGTGACTGGTTACAGAGATAGAAGTAGGTAGGGTTATGGCAAAAGTTGTATGAGGAAGAGGGGGAGGAGGTGGGGGTGGAGGCACAGCGGGAGATGTGGCTGGAGTTGGATTCTCTGTGGTATCTGCAGAACTGGTGAAAACGAGACCCTGAGGCATTGAACGACCTGGTGTGGTTGGGGTGGCAGGATCCTGGGCCGCACTAGGTGGGAGCTCACCATTCTTGATTAGAATCTCCAACACGTCATCTACTATCTGGCTCTTCACGTTCTTTGGACGGGAGCTGGTGCTCTTACTGCCTGAACTGTTCGTGTCTGCTTCCTGGAAAATAAAGAAAGATTTGAAGTTCAAAACTTGTGGTCTAGGGATGAGCATACCTGAAACTGTTCACACAGTTCACCATGATTTTGTGCTCTCAAATAGGTAAAGAGAAAGTGGTCATTAGAATGAAAGAAAAATATAAATAAAATACAACCACCTTCCACAAGATTATTAATATACACACAGGGTATATTAAATAGAAAACAAAACACTGTTGTAACAAACAAAATGTGCCAATACATTACATCTGTACACTACGCCTGTATTTACCAACTTACTGAAATTCCCACTTAATGACTGGGGAGAAAGGGTTTTCTTTCACTAACTGTGGTTATGAAAAACTGCATCATGAGACCATTCATCATATTATGGGACTTACTGTATATAATTATGACAAAATAATTCTTTCACCTGTGTAATTAAATAAACTGTTTCTACACAAATAAATACAATTACAAAGAATCACAGGAATTATGAAGGTACATGAGTCATGTTTTGGTCTGTGTTCAATATGAGACATTACTTGCCAAATATCATATCTGTGCAGTGATGATTTCTGGGAGAGAAAATGTAAATATTGGCCGTTACTTTGACTACAATCACACTAAAGTGAGGTACAAGTTCTGGCAGGCAGAAAATTTCTTACATTAACTGCAGGTTATTTACTAAGTGAAGATTCACATAATATGGGACAGATATGAGTACTGTTTTCTGGGATATAATACTGTGCAGTCTGGTAGAAACCCAGTGATATTTCAGAAGCAGCATGTCCCTCTGAAATGTCGATGAACTTCATGTGGGCTACACAGTATTACATCCTGTTAAGATAAGTACCCTTCACAGTCACTGCTATGAAAACTTTAAAAGAAACAAAGAAATCACACTGTTCACAGTGAGCTTTGGATGGGTAAAAGGTCAAATATAAAGCTGATCTGGTGTCTAATTAATTAGGGAATTAAGCACTATGCCATGAAGATTTATGGAGGAGCTGATGTATAATTCCACCAATCTTGACCTTGGAACTAGATGGGGATGAGAGGGCTTTGGGTGGGAAGAGAAAAATAAGGATTACTCTCAATGTGGAGAACCTTAAATTGGGATGTCACTGTGTTATCTTTATTTTAATCATTTACATATTTATAATTTACTTGTGTTACTTGCCGCTGAGTAATAAAATGTTTTATCTTAAATATCCAAATATATGAGATGATGGTTAACATGTCGCAACATTCCAAGTTCCCCCATCACAAAGCCTCGTTTTAAAGTGGATTTATATGATAATTCTGTCATTTTAACCCTTTCATTCCCAAGCATGTAACAATTTCACTGTGAGAGATTAATCTAAGTATTTAGGAGCAAACTGTACTATCTGCTACATGGCACAATAACAGTTTTATAAAGTTGTCTGTGTCTATGCCATGCATGATGACACGTGAAAGTGGAAGTAAAAATCCCTGCATTCTTAACCTTGGCTCTAAATGGAAATCGAGTGGCAAGCTTCACACTTCAGCTTTCTTTTCCTTATGGAAAGGGATCCTGGCATCCACTGGATGGACCACATCATGAAGAAACTAGTCCTTGTTCCCATTTGAAATCAAACCTCAGTTTGCAGCCCAAGCCAGCCACTTTACCAACCGAGCCATCCTGACACATATACAATACAGAATATGATTTGAGGTCATCACAGTGGTGGTTTTTGAAAGTTATATCTTCTGGGATAAAACACTATGTAGACCATTGAAAGACAATTTAAATTTTGGAAGAAGGCGTTGCCTCCCCCTTCAGGGTCAAAGAATAAGCCAAGCAATAAACAGCATAAGGCATGCAGAGCATAGCCTGCTACCTGTTTCTTGCTTGGCTTATTCTTTGACCCTGAAGGGGGAGGCGATGTGTTCTTCCAAAATATCAGCTGACTTTCAACAGACTATAAGGTGTTATATCCCAGAAGACAGAACTCTTCAGTATAATGTATACTGCACAAAGTACAACAGAGAAGTCCCATCTGTACACTTGTGTACTCCATCTCTAAAAGTATACAGAATGGTGGTCAATAAAATTTGGAATTGAGAGTAAACACAAAAAGTTCAAAGGCTACCTTAATTATATTTCTTATCAACAAAATATAACTGCTACTTTATACAATAATAACTCTGAATAATGGATCAACATACAAAATATTTGTGAAACCTAACAGTAAAGTTGTCCATATGCTTAATGAGCACAGTTCCATAAATATGAATGAGAGAGTGGTGGTACAGGTCCACACATTCCTAACATAGGCACTACATGGAGGCAAGAGATCAGTTTCACACTCTGGCCACCTTACTCTGGTGAAAGAATGCCAAGAAACCAACTATTACAGCATACTGAGTAATTCTGTGATTTCATAAACATACTCATAATGTCCAATTATCCTATCCAGCAGGGAAGTAAAACCTTTCTGAACTGACCAACACATATGATCTCATGTTTAAATCTCATGAGCTACGGCCTTGACATGTGCAGTAGCTTTACGGCTGCACCAGCAATGGAAGGTATTTCAATCTGTATTAATGTTTTTGTGTTCAGCAGTCTTCCCCTATGTGCAACACTACCACTAACAGACACAGCTCTTACCCTTCCTCTTGTGCACCTCAGAGCATGTCCTACCGAACAACATGCACCGATGTTTCAGAGGAACATGCTGTCTCCATCTTCAGATTAAAAGAGTATGCCAAGCATACAAGCATGAGCATGGAGAGAGAAGGATGGTCAGGATATGAGTCCTAAGTGAATAAATCAGAATAGATCTGAGGTTCTTATAGGGATTACCAAATTACATGGCACCATATTTCAAAAGGCAATAATCTTAATAATCACTGCTCTAAGGCCTCATATCTCACATGTTTATTACTGACCTGTTTGACCTTCAGTTGCTTTGTGGCTTCCTCATACTGTGGAGGTGGCTTTGTGACTAGGAACTGCTGTGGGTCTGAGCCACCCTGAGGCAAGGAAACACTTGGACTTGCTTCTTTTGAGCTACCTGTTGAATGCTGCTGCTGGGTGACAAAGGAGCCGAAGAAATTTGGTAAAGATGAAGTCCTGTAATGAAATCAAAATCCAAGTAGGTTCAGAACCTGCTATCACAAGAGCACAGTATAGTTTCCTCATTCATGTCAATATGGTTCTGATAATTTTGGAGTAGAGTATACCGCCAGTGACACTTTTTAAAGTATACAGAACTATACACAGGTACAGATATACCTCATATACCACTGATCTGACCCCCCAAGGTTTCTCCACCTTGTCGTGGTGGTGGGGCTTGCATGACTCTGTGACCTGGAGAGCTATGCTGGCAGTAGAGTAACTACCAGTAAGGTCACTTGTGTGGGAAAGGTCATGAGACTAGCAACCTCATCCTGTAAAAAGAATTTTGTTCAGAAACCTAACAACCAGCCTTGGGTCATAATTTGTGGATCCATTCCTATGGTAGCACGCATTGGTTGTGGAGACTGGTTGTAAGGGAGGCCAAGGCTCACCCAGGGCTGTAGCGCTGGCTTTACTGGCTTTACCAACATCATTTTACAGTACAATCAATACATAATAAATAAAACCCCATCATAATATCATTTGACTGATAGCCTGGGATGTAAATCAGAACTACGAATTTGTAAGGCATGTGTATCAAATCTACATCAACAGAAAATGTATCAAAATCTTCAACAAACAAAACTTGCAGGATTAGTCTTTATGATATGCAATTACTTGCTTACTGTAACAAAGAGCTGGCACAGTTCACTTGGTACAGCAACAGGCTATGGGTTGGATGGCTTGGGTTCAATTCCCTGCAGGGAAAGAGATATTTCTTTTCTCCACAGCAGCCAGACCAGCTCTGGGGCGATCCACCCAACTATCCGATGGATACTGGGAGCTCTCTCCCCAAGAGAAAAGCAGTAAGGATGTGAAGCTGACCACTCACATACTTCTAACGCTAAGGCCAAGAATACTGGAGGTATTACTTCCAAACTCCAGTATGTCTTCATGATGTGATACTTAATTATACAGACAAAGGGACAATTTTACCATACTTTCACCTTGGCATAATACAGTTACTAATAAATAAATTGCACAATAAGCATAAAGCATCCACGCATATTCACCAACAATGCATCTCCCATTTATATAACTGTTACTATGGAACTATTCCTCACTGTACCGTTGTCTTGCCTAACATCATGTTTTCATGAAACCAGCTGATGTTAGGCAGGGTATACCTGTACCTGTGAAAGAAGCTACCTGTCTTTCCCCCAGGCCTGTTTTCAGTAATGTTCACACTTTACAACTCAGTAAAAATGTTTAAAAATGCTCCTCAGAATCAGGGATGGAAACAGCTCTTCAGAACTTGGTAGACACTGCTGATCAGTAGAAAAGCCCAGGGGATGATCAACACATATTAGAAAAGAAATTATTGCAATGTATGTTCAAGAACTCATCCTTACATGAATCACTGTGAGGAGTTGTAGTTATGTCATCTTATGACACTAGAAATAACCTTGTTAAAACAATAAGTTCTGGGAAGAACTAATTGCCTACTTTCTTTTCACCACATATTAAGCATCTTATATGACAAGGACCACAGAGGAAACACTGCATCCAACAGCACTTCTATTGCAGCCTGTGTATACGTTGCCACATGAAAACTGTTTACCAAGAAGTTGCCTAGCAATGGCAATCTCTGCTTGTACCATCACTCTGGCTTTCAGGCACTAGGGTGGAGGTTGCAGACACATAGACAAGAAGGTGATCTCATAATCTTTTGCTCCATGTCTTTTACTCCGCAAGTGAACTATACCGACCAAGCGACACCCACTTGTCAGTGAAGTTAGTGCCAACTTTTGCGGATAGAGGGTGTCACATGGTCAGCGCAATGAATCCCCATGGCCGTTAATCTCGGTTTTCTAGACTGGCTCATAAGCCTTTTACTTTTCCAAGACAAGGAAAGTTAGCTAAAAAAAGTTCTGTGGAACTAAGTAGATGGCATCTAATCACATATTCCCTCTTTTCCAGCCATGCTCACAATATTCAGTAGATAAAAGCATCCAAACTAACACTGAAAACAAGAGCACTAACCTCTGGTGGCCAGAAACACCATTCAGAACAGAAGCCTTTTGTTTCTGGAGGTTTAACTGGTTCAGCACAATAGCTGCTTGCTGTTGCCCCAGGACAATACTCTTCGCATTGTTTCTCTTATTATTATTACTATTATTGTTATTATTATTATTATTATTATTATTCTTGTTGTTGACAGCTGACTGTTGCTGTTGCTGCTGAAGCAAGTTTGCTATCTGCTGCTGCTGGCTCTGGCTCTGAAGGAATGCTGCCAGACTTGCCTTCGCATTCAGACCCTGCGAACAATTAATAGAAACACTTGACTACTGAATGAGTGTCTAATACCAACAAAGGGAAACTGTACCTTGCTGATCTTCTCCTTTGTCTAAAATGCTCAATCAAATGCATCTTACATCTCACTGCTCATTTTGACAGAAAACCATAGGCCTACTGGAGTAAAAACAAAGCTTTTCTTTATCAAAGAAGTGCCTTTTTACATTTATGAACATTTTAGCACTATATTAATCAGCAATGGAAGTTCCTAAGAAGTTAGAAATAACAATTTTGGCTAATATTGTCACATGTTACTAACCAGATATGGGGGATGGATTGGTATTTGGATTTACTGAACCACTATAACTCGTAACTACAACAGTTTCATGGATCTACACAATCTACATATCAGTGTAATGTAGCATACACAAAGTCTTCCATGTCTTCACCAGTCACTGACTGCTAACGGCTCACAATGGATATTATCCTGTTTGTCGATTAGTCGGTTAAATTGCTGCTGGCCATCACCAGGACAGTCATTCCTGGCTTCAGTCTCCTCAAGATAGCCTCACCATGGACTGCACAGAAAATACTCTCTCCAACAGCTCTTCTATTGTTGCATGTTTATTTGTTGGCTAGCAATGGATGACATCTCTTGTCAAACTATTCTATTACATCACAATATATTTTATAACAATTATATAAATACAACATACTTCTACCTTGCACAACCACTTTCGAGAAATATTGCTAAAGAACATTCTGCAGCGGAAAGAAAGCCATTGAATAATGCAGGAAAGTTTTTCTTTGCAACTGAATTTTATGTGACTATTGTTATTTTCAAGATATTATGTTCCATCCAGATAACCATCAAGACCCACTGATTGAGAAACATGATTATATTAATGATCACCAACCTCATGGTGATGAACCAAACACGTATCAATCACCATAAAGCGCAACAGTTAATTCAGCCCACGTCAAGAAATAATATTTTCTTTTGCTGCATTATTCAACGTCACTCACTGGGCCATGAAAATGCATTTTTGTAATGCTTCATATTTTTTAACTTAAAACTGCATTAATTTAGGAAAATGGTGAGAAAATAATACGCAGCAAAAGGGGTGACGTATGCCGGTTCCTCATGAAGAATCAGACCTAGGATGTAGTGGGATGGCTGGTAGGATGGTTAGTATTCTTGTCATATTTTAGATTGCACTGTGTATGATACTTATTTAGGATGACTGGAAAAAGATTATGAAATTCAAGTTATTTTAGGTCTACTTTTGTGGACAAAGTATTATTTCTGATGGGAGAAAATGCTGTTTTTATTATAGGAAACATTTCTTTAGGAATACATCTCCACTTATAGCATGGGAGTCAACAGAAAAAGAGGGACTGCTTTGCAGAATTTCATGATACAGACACACTTTCAGGAACATACCCCTTCCTTTAACATCTAGGCACCCTGTATACAAATTCTGACTTTGCTTGGAGGAAATGGATGGGGAAGGAATGAAGCAAAATCTGCCTGGAACACTGACATCCTACACCTAGACATCAGCTTTCCTTATCAGTTCTTCCAGTATCACTCACTTGCTGTTGCTGCTGGAATGCAATATGTTGCTGTTGCTGCTGCCTCTGTTGTTGCTGCTGTTGATGAAGTGTCTGAAGTTGTTGCAACTGCATTTGGAGTTGCTGTTGATGGATTTTTTGTACAAGGTGCTGTTTAAGCTTCTGCTGTTTTGATGCTATGGCTGCTGATGTGGTTACAGCAGTAGCAGAAGCTGGATCAATAACAACGCCATTGGACAAGGAGGTAGATGGTGCTACCAAGGCCAGTTGCTGCTGTGGCTGTGGTTTGAGCCGCTGAGTGTTAGTTAATTCCTTACTGTTGCGAATCTGCTGCAACTGTAGTTGTGACCTAAAGTATCAAAATAAAAATTCAATTATAACATTCTGCTTGGGATTAGTACATTGTTCCAAAGCATAAATGTTCATATTAATTTGTATGCATACTGTTTATATCTAATTTGATGTTACAACAAAAGAAAAATATATTTTAATGTAACTAACATGCATTTCTTGTACAAAAATTGTGACACAAGAATGTAGACAAACACATCTGTAGAATATGTATGAAAGAAGTCTGGAAAGTTAGGTAACAATTTCTTTTTGTGAGAGAACTTCAACCATACTGTTATGATATTATTCAGTAATCAAGGCACATTATCTGCCATGTTTGGGGCATGGCATGTACTGGTTATAAGAACCTGCACAGTTGCAGAAGAGAAACACTTGTGGGAACCCAATACAAAGTCAAAATAACTCGTCTTCTCTTTAATTCTGACATGCAGTCTTTTTGAGGTGAAATATTGAGCTCATGGCCGAAAATTTCAGACACATACACTGTAGCACAATCGCAAATTCTACTACCATCAACTATAATGGCACCTGCGTGATATAACGATGACGGGCAATTCTGCTGCTGGGGGTCTGAGGAATTACCATGGGGTGGCTGGACATATGTGTATCACAAATTTGTTTTTGAATAGCTTTATGGAAATAGCACACCCAATGGGGCATGTAAGTAAAAAAAAAATACAACATCTAGGACACGAAGGTAGCACAATGCTAAAACTAAGGACAGAATGATACTAATAAACATGTATTATAGAATGCCGAGAACAGCCGCAACACAAAAGATAGGAAGAACAGACATCCTATAACATCAAAATCAATAACAATAATAATGACAAGGTACTTTAAGAGTACTACCTACAAAGTGCACAGTGTAGTGGATTCCTTAATGAAGAGTTGCCTGAAGATGGCCCTGTGAGGCCAAAACATGTAGCACATAAACACAGAATGTCTATATAGTTTTATGACATTTCAAACATTTTAGTGAATTAAATATTGATTAGTATCAACTAAATCTATATTGATATTGTTGCATTATATACGGAAGATTATAAGTGATGCTTCAATTCAACAGGATGCTGAAATGTGACATATGTGAACCAAATACAAACAAAGAAGCGACAACAATATTTCAAATGTTTATGATGGTATATTTATGTTTTATTTATGTTGTAGTCCACAATATGAATCTTAACCACTGTGAAAACCTCAAATCCCATATTTTGATACTATCTGTGGATTGTGTTATATATTACCTACTTTATCATTAATATTCCAGATAAACGAGGATTTGTTCACTATATCTCCTGAAGTTATGTACTAGTACAGATCTAATAATGACTAATTAAAGTAAAAAAAAAGTTCCATCTTTTGGGGTAGAACAACATGTCGTTCAGTGAAAGTCAACTAATATTTTGGGGGAACACATTTCCATCCTCAGTGTTGAACAGTAAGCTAAACAAGAAACCAGCATGAAGCAGGCAGCAAGCAAGGAGTATGTTCCTCTGAAACAATGACTGACTTTTACAGACTACACAGGGTTACATTCCTGAAGACAGAACTTTATGCAGTTACTACTATGAGAACCTCAGATCCAAAACAGAGTAAGTTATATGGTTCTTACTTGAGTAGTTCACGCTCCAGCTCCTCGATCTTACGTTGCTGATCACGAATAATGTCCTCGCTAACCAGGTTCTGTGGCTGTTGCTGGGGTGAAGGAGGTGGAGGTGAAACTTGTTGCTCTGATGGTGAGCCCACAGTAAGAGAGCTGCCCTCTGTTGTATCCATGTCAAGGTCAGCAATCCCAACTGAGTCTGGGGACATATTCTGTGATAAAGGAGACAGCTGTTGATGCTGTGAGCTGGGTGAGAAGGTAGGCAAGCTCACTTCATCATCCCCTCCAGAGCCATCATGCACTAGGGCCATCTGCTGTGTGGGTGGGGAAACTGGAGTCTCCATTGAAAGACCTGTGAAGATGAACAATCTCAGATAAGGATTCTTGAAATCTTTATTCTAAAACCATTGCTGAAACATAAGTCTTTACAGATTTAGCAATACCATATATGGTATACTGTGACACAAAAGTTCGATAACAATTTAAGAAATTCTTATCCATTATTTCTCATCTATTTCTGCATCCTACAAACAAGATCTGTCAACAATTTTTCTAATCTTAATTTCATGCATCCTGCTGTGCTACAATATACAACTCTTTAACGAAGCGTCACAACACACCAAATAGTAAAACATCAAAGTCAGCGTACAGCTGTGGCTTTGCTACATGTTTCGGCCACTACCGGCCATCATCAGGCAAATACATATGAACAAAAATCTACCATTTAACAGCAATCATAAAATGGATATAACACTATTAATCGTACAATTTTAAAATTGCTTATGCAAAAATACAAAAGTTCAGATTATACAAAAATTAAAATTGGAAGTATTATAACAAGATAAGATATTAATGATGTTTTCAAAAACATTTAATCAGTCGTTAGATATACTTTGTGTGCGTTTCCATAGACAATAGGGAAATTCGATATTACTTTATATAGAAGATTTTAAGAGAGGCCCATGGTGTAGCAATTAATGAGTTCGAAAATAATATAAAAATAGTAATGTTAAACTTTGTTATAATTAAATGATTTAACATTGAAGATATAGTTTACAGTATATGTTGTTACTTACTATGTAATGCTGCCTCGTCATTAAGAAGAATTGTCTTATCTTATCTTGTTATAATACTTCCAATTTTAATTTTTATATAATCTGAACTTTTGTATTTTTACATAAGCAATTTTAAAATTGTACGATTAAAAGTGTTATATCCATTTTATGACTGAAGTTAAATGGTAGATTTTTGTTGATATGTATTTGCCTGATGATAGCCGATAGTGGCCGAAACATGTAGCAAAGCCACAGCTGTACGCTGACTTTGATGTTTTACTATTTGCTGTGTTGTGACGGTTCATTAAAGAGTTGAACAATTTTTCTCTTCTGCACTAAAATCAACATCTCATGACTTCCCTATATTATGCAATCTGTACAATTTCAAGTTCATAACTTGTACTCTTCTCCAAGTATAATTAGAATGATCAAGTCAAGGAGGATGAGGTGGGCAGGTAATGTAGCACGAATGGGGAAGACGAGGAATGCATATAGGATATTGGTGGGAAAGCCAGAAAGAAAGAGACCACTGGGAAGACCAATGAGTAGGTGGGTGGACAATATTAAAATGGATCTTATCGACAGATAGGATGGGATGGTATTGACTGGATTGATCTGGCTCAGGATAGGGACCAGTGGAGGGCTCTTATGAACACGGTAATGAACCTGCGGCTTCCATAAAATGCTGGGAAATTCTTGAGTAGCTGCAGAATTGGCAGCTCCTCAAGAAAGGCTCAGCTTCATGAGTAAGTAAGTACAATTTCAAAAGATGTAAAAAGTAGCATAAATGAAACATCTCTCTTAAAAGTGAACATATTTGCAAATGCTAGTCATGGAGTTCTATTTTGCCTGCTCCATTACCAGAACAATGCGAAAAAATTACTCAAATGAATTCTCTGTGGCCAGTACCTTTCTAAGTATAATCATTAAATGATAAACATTCCCACGATGACAAAAATTTAAGTAATGTCATTTTCATGATTACTTTACATTACCAGTACATGCTATATTTCTTCCCACCTTCCAAGGGTAGATTTTTATAAATATACAATGGTTTCCTATTTAGCAGACATTGTAAAAAGTATATATTCGAATGTAAATAAATAACATTCTTAAAACTAACAAAACCTTGGGCTACTTTAATGGCATGCACATCCAGTAACTTGTATTCATTGGAGAATGTGGACATACAGCACAAAATCTCTGTGTCAGATGAAATAATTCTGAATATAAGTATCTGTTAGCTCTCTGATCAAACTAATGAAACAACAGTCAGGAGACATTTTGTTCTCTTTGAGGCATGGCTGAATCCTGCAGAAAATAATTAAGACTTTCTCCCCAACAGAACCATTTAAAAAGGCGTTTTTTTATTGCTAGTGGGGTGGGACTAAATCCCTTGTACTGTGGCCACTTCTGGCCTATTGTACCAGCCCCAGATGACAGATGAGGGTGATTGTGGAGCAACTGGTGGAATGAAGATGGGCAGGAGAAACCGAAGTACTTGGAGAAAACCTGCTCCAGTGCCACTTTTTCCACCACAAATCCCACTTGACCAGAACCGGGATCAAACCCAGGCCGCCATGGTGCGAAGTCAGCAACTAACCGCTTGAGCTATGGCGCAGCACCAAAAAAAGTCTTGCTCCTGGGGGGTAACATTTAAATGACTGACTTAAGGGATTAATTTACTGCACTATTAGATCATGGGGAATAATGAAGCATAGGGCACATGGATCTATGGTCTCCGTGGAATGTGAACTTTCATTACGGTAACGATAAATAAAATCAGCTATCTCATGACTCCATCATACCCCTTGATACATATGCGCGCACCCCCCCCCCCAAAACATGCACGCATGCACACACACACACACAGAGTCTTAGTGCAGCTTCACAGATTATTTGTTGAGTCACCACTTAGTCCGTGCTTTCATGTAAATTCAATGCTATGTTCAGGCCACACAGGGCCATCATCAGGTATATATGATGATTTATGTAAATTCTTATTCTGTACCATGACATCACAGCTGAAATCTAGAACAGTGGAACAAATAGATGAGGCCATTGCTTAGCAACAGCATGATAACCACACTTCTGCAGCAACAGATACTGACATAACAACAGAGGACATGTTTTCTTTGCTGCCCATACTGAGGTTAGACAACAAGGACCAATTGGACAAGCCACTCAGAGGTCAGAATTTGTGGTTAGAAGTCTTCAGCTGCACTGTTAGCGGCTGCTACTTAGCAATGACTAGCAAATCGAATGGAAGACTGCATATATGCAGTAGTTGTAGTGATTCAGTGTCTGTAAATCAGCAAGACTGTTATAGATATTTGTAGATACAAGTTATAAGCATCCAATAAATCCAATTATCAATCCAAATCCCATGTCCAGTTACTAAAACATGATTGGGCCGTGCCATAGCTCAAGCAGTTAGTCACTGGCTTCCCACCGTGGCAGCCCGGGTTTGATCCCGGGTCTGGTCAAATGGGATTTCTGATGGACAAAGTGGCACTGGGGCAGGTTTTCTCCGAGTACGTCGGTTTCCCTTGCCAATCTTCATTCCACCAATTGCTCCACAATCACCCTCACCTATCATCTGGGGCTGGTGCAATAGGCCAGAAGTGGCCACAGTACAAGGGACTTAGTCCGACCCCACTAGCAATAAAAGAGAATACTAAAACATTATGGTATTATAGTATTACATAGAGTGTGGAAGACTATGTGGGTCATGGCATTCTCATTACTTTAGTTACTTTTTTTTCCAGAGAAATGTGTATTTCATGGATAGCACATTCCAGCTGGAAGTGTGCATGGACTATGAACTTGCTGTCTTATGAAGAGTATTCATTCGCATGTTTCTGCTGTGCTTGCAATGAAAAGCTGCAAAAACGCCCTTATGAGGGTTCTCATGTCTGTCCATCTGTCTTCATGGAACAAGTCAAGAACTGCTGAACAGATTTTCAGGAAGGCTCACAATGGAGATCTTCATAATAAAAATTTTCAACATATCCCAACATTCAATAAAATCAGTCAAAAATAACAAGAGACTTTACATAAAATCCCACAGGCATTTCAATGCACATCTTAAATGTAATTTATGGATAATTCAAATGTTAATCAGAGCAGAAAATGCTTCAACTAAACATGACAGAGAATAACGAAACATGTTTCTTGTCCAACATACTAAAATCATGAATGTCAACATATTTAAACAAGAGGGATTTCTATGGTGTGTCATTTCATAATTCAGAAAATCCACAGGGACATTATTCAGCAAATGTGCAAAGAACTGTTACGCTATGCATATATGTCCTAACTTGTTATACTTGCCACTGACATCTATTAACTTGCCTGTGATTACTGAGTGCACATTTTCTGGAGCCCTGATTCCATAAATTAAATAAGATGCAATGAACTATACTCGTACTGGTCGAAAATTTTAATATATGCATGTGTATGATTTGTAAAAGTAACACAGCTTTTGCCATCATTTCCCTGTAGTCACATTATGTCAGAAAATATTTACCTGACAGTGACTCCTCATTAATGACTGGGCCAGGTGTGTCCATGAGAATGTGACCCATCTGAGTCACTGGAATGGTTGCTGCTGCCGTCGTGGTGGTAGTACTGTTAGTGGTACTCAAGACGGACGTGCTAGTGATAGACATCACGTGGCTGTCCTGTTGTTGGGATGAGCCAGTCAAGGAATCGCTGAATGGTTTCAGACGTTCTATTAACTGAGGCTTTGACCCTGATACAGGCAAATTCCTCTTCTTCAACTCTGCCTTTAAGTCACTTACTATTGGAAAGAAGAAAACATTACATAAACTTGAGGCACAAAATATTTTCAAGTGCTGCCCCTCTTCCACATGTGTTACACAGACACTTACTATGGTTTCTTTGTAGTGTTCAGTGGAGTGTTTACTCACACCTATTCAGCCTCACATATCCTATGTGGCTGCGAGGCCTGCTTACTTACTTATGGAACTGAGCCTTTCTTGAGGAGAAGCCAAATCTGCAGCTACTAAAGAATTTCCCAGCAGTTTATGGAACCCGAAGGTTCATTACAGTGTTCACAAGAGCCCTCCACTGGTCCCTATCCTGAGCCAGATCAATCCGATTAATACCATCCCATCCTATCCCTCTAAGATCCATTTTAATATTGTCCACAAACCTACGCCTTGGTCTTCCCAGTGGTCTCTTTCCTTCTGGCTTTCCCACCAATATTCTATATGCATTTGTCTCCCCCATTCCTAATTATGGACATATGCAAATATTGAAAACTTATCAAAATAGCAGTCTACAGTCATTAGTCCTATGAGCATGGACAATGGTAGGGGAATCCCCTTTCCTCCTTGTGGATAAATCAAAGTTGAAAGAGAGAAGTATATATAAAATATCAACACCAAAAAAAATTTTTTTTTAAATATTCTTCTATCCTGAATATTCTGGGGCAGTCATTAAAAATTTCTGAAATCAATTTCTAAAACTGTGGTCCACTGGACCATTGGCATTCTGTGGCAGTCCACCAGATGCTCCATGGCATTATATATAGTTCACAGAGTAATATATAAAACATACAATAAATAAATTAATTAAAAAATTATAATAAATCATTGTTTTCAAAAATTTACTTTAAACTGGTAGATAAATCTTTATGAAAACTTGTAACTATAATTTTCCTGTTTGCAGAGAAAGGGCAACTGCATGCCCCTTGCAGACAAGGAGACTGTGCAAGTGAACTGACCGTCCACGTAGTAGACTGTAAGTCCATAGGCACATTTTCTGCCTTCCCTGGTGGCACTCAAGCAGACATTTACCTTTCATATCCTCCAGTTTTGTGAGGGTGCGCAGTGTCTGCTGTTGTGGCTGCTCCTGCTGAGGCGTTGGTGGAGCCTGCAGTGGCGCCGGAGAGGGAACTGGTACTACTGTGTTCGTATTTGAGCTGGGAGCTGCCACAGTGACTGTGGGCGCAGCACTTGTTACAGTATTTGCCACTGTGTGTGTGTGCGCAGCAGGGGGTGATGCTACTGCAATCAGGCCTGATAAGGATGTGGCTGTTGCAGCAGTGCCACCACTCAAAGAGTCTGAGCTCACAGACAATGGCTTCTGTGCTGCTGGCAAGATAATCTGTGGATACTGTGCAAAAGGAAACATAATGAACACCATACATTATCTGACAAAGGTCTGGTATGTTTCTCAAGCTGAATAATCACTGCAGCAAGTTTCATTTTCACCGATTTTCCTTTCTTGTTGCAGCAACATGTAACAAGCTAGCATCTCTAAATATAAGTAGTCAACATAATTAATAGGGCCCAGATCTTTATGCACTAAAACACTTAAAATATGCACCAAAAATGAAACAATATGCACTGTATTCAGACTCACCTATTTACATGTATCATCCACTGCAGAAAGTAGCATCACAATAGGCAACTGGAAGTCTTTCAGTGTTTTGTGGAGACAAACTGTGTCTGTTTATAGGCCGAGAATGATCTTTCTACATCAACTGACATGATTAGACAGTATTTATACACTGATGCCGAAGGTTCGGAACATTCATCTGGCAAAGATACCACAATTCCACTCAAGTACTGACTAACTGACTGAATCTTTTTTAGTCCTGGGTTCGATTTCAACACCTTTTCTAACTTGCATTTTATTTCTCTCCAATTTCGTCCGGAGTAGAATTTAGTGAACAAGTTGCTTTCTGAAAGAGCTGAAGTGCACCACAAGATTCTAAGCTCTCAATAGCTTTTGAAACTGTAGAAATATGTGCATGGATAAAATTTACATCTTGATAAACAGTATCACTTCCAAACACCAATTTTGCTTCACGGACACATGCATACACATCTTCAAGTTTTGTAACCACTTCTTTTACTTGATTGAAATTCTCCTGATAAAATGAAACTGCAGATAACCATGTCCCCCCCCCCCCTAGTTAGGACAGGTTCAGGTGGCAGAGGAACCTGAGGTAGGCAATCTTTGTAGAACTGGACACGAGCTGGTGCTTTCAGAAACAGTTTTTTTCTCACTTGCAATTAAATTGTTAACAGCTGGAAACTGTGTGCGTTTTTTTTTTTTTTCTGCAATACAGTGTAATCCGTGCGCTAAACAGGTTACGTGTATAAGATTTAGATGAAATACTTGTAAGGCCTTTGCTTTTTTTCAACATATAGGAAGCTCCATCTGTGAGTCATACGAGCACCTTACAACAATTCTCAATTTCAGATGGCCATAGTATGAGGGGCGTTCTAGTTCTAAGGCCTCTGATTTTTTTCTCAGGACTGGGAGCAGATAGACACATGCGGTTTAGTTTAAAATACATGTGCACTCTTTGTGAATGCGTGACAGAGATGGCAGCACTGTACAGCACATAGAACTCTAGTGGTGGCAGCGAATGTGAGGAGTGTTTTTGATACTTAAAATGGCGACGTTTTCGTTACAAGAACAGCAAGTAATCATTCGTTTTCTCCACTTGAAATTCATCGCCAGTTGAGTGAGACATGTGGTGATGGTGTCATGAATGTGAAAAATGTGCGTTCGTGGGTGCGACAGTTCAAAGAGGGCCGAACGTCGTGTGACAACAAACCAAAACAATCTCAGCCTTGCACCAGCTGGTCTGACAACATGTTCAAGCGAGTTGAGAAAGTTGTTTTGGAGGATCGCCTATTGAGTGTGGAAAACATCGCCTCCAAAGTTGGCATTTCCGTGGGATCTGTGCACACAATCCTGCATGAAGACCTGCGAATGCGGAAAGTGTCCTCCAGGTCGGTGCCACGAATGCTGGCGGACGACCACAAGGCTGCGCGCATGGCAATTTGCCAGGCGTTGTTGACACGTGATGAAGGCTTAAAGGGTACTTTGTTTTCATCAATTGTGACAATGGATGAGACATGAATGCCGTTTTTCAATCCTGAAACAAAGCACCAGTCAGCTCAATGGAAGGACACAGACTCACCGCCACCAAAAAAATTTCGGGTAAGTGGCAATGCTGAAAAAGTGATGGTGGCCATGTTTTGGGACAGCGATGGCATAATCCTTACTCATTGCATTCCAAAGGGCACTACGGTGACAGGTGCATCTTACCAAGATGTTTTGAAGAACAAGCTCCTTCCAGCACTGCGAGAAAAACGGCCGGAAAAGGCTGCACATGTGCTCTTTCACCAGGACAATGCACCAGCGCAGTGGGTGTACGCGACGCAGCAGTTTCTTCATAAAAACAACCTTGAAGTCGTTTCTCATGCTCCCTACTCACCTGACCTGGCTCCTAGCGATTTTTGACTTTTCCCAACGATGAAAGACACTCTGCGTGGTCGCACATTCACCAGTCGTGTCGCTATAGCATCAGCGATTTTCCAGTGGTCAAAACAGACTCCTACGCAAGATTTGAGGCTTTCATGGCGGTGACTATGAAGAAAGCAGTCTTCTGGAATTTGGCACCGTGTATATGTGGTGTTAACCGACGTTTCGGAGGAACGTATCGCCTCCATCTTCAGGGTAGAAGAAAAAATATATAAGAATCTGCAAGCAAAGAGACCATGAGATGGAGGCGATACGTTCCTCCGAAACGTCGGTTAACACCACATATACACGGTGCCAAATTCCAGAAGACTGCTTTCTTCTCAGACTCCTACGCGTTCGCAGCGGCCATGGAATCATGGTGTCGATGTTGTGAAAAATGTATATGGCTGCTGGGAGATTACACTGAAAAGTGACAGAAGTTTCAAATTTTTTGAATGATTGTGTGAGAAAAAAAACCGGAGACCTCAGAACTTGAACGCACAACATAGTAGCACAGAATCATTTACAAATCTTGCTATTGTGCTATGGTTAGTTTTCTCGAGTACTCTGCAAGCAAGAAGATGAGGTTTGCCACGTTCGTCTGGATGTAGCGTACCAACTACGAAATTTGCTATGTATCGCCACATATATCAGTTCTCATCCACCGATATCCAGACACAGTTCCCTCTGACGTCAGAACGGATTGACTCCAGACCAGATTCATACAGCAAAGGTAGATAATTTTTCTAAAAGTTGATTCATCTGGGATTTTTTGAATTATATAATATTTCTCCAGAAATTATTGCAGAACTGGACTGCTTAATTTATTCAATGGAATGTTGCTGCATACTAAAGCCTTACAAAGATCGGCTGAAAATGTATTAACAGAGGACTTGAGTTTGACCTTTGTAAGAAGTAGCTGTTGTGGTGTGCTGTTCTTCTTCCCCTTCTTTGCTGCAATATGTGCAGTCCTCCTTGAGTGTTCTTCAAGGTGAAATCTTTTCACATTTTACTTCCTTTGCGCAAACTTGACAGTACACGATGACACCGTCTGTTGAATAGTCACTATTAGCCGACACCCAACGATTTTTTAAATATCTACCGCTGCACTTTTCTTTAGGTATTTTCAATACAGGAACACTTTTTTGTTGCAGATTATTAAAGAAAAGAGTAACACATTAACTGAAGAGAATTCTCTCAAGACCAACCCTCTGATGCTACTGTCTGCTGTGATGGTCAAAGGAATGCAGGAAAATCCCACCCCCTCCCTTTCGAAATAGCGAAGCTACCTTCTTGTATTGTAAGCGGTGAAAGTGCCGTTACTCAGTGAGATGAGAATAGCAACTGGCAAGGGATGTCCAAAACACAGTCAAAACCGATTTTGCTAGAGAATATTCAAATTATCCTTAATTTCAAGCATATATGCAGAAATGTGCTCTTACGTTTAGAATATGCAATAACGACCAAAAACCCTCAAAATATGCATTTGCATATGTGCATATGCATTTTCAAAAAATCCTGGCACTAATAATTAAGCACCACACCATGACGATGTATGGAGGAGTGGAGGTATAGCTCTACCATTCTTGACACTGGCACTGGATGGAGGTGAGTGGTCAGCTTCACACACTGGCCACTTTAATCCCCAAGGAAAGAGATGAGTATCCAATGGATAGGAGGCTGGGTGGGCCCCAGAGCCAATCTGGATGATGTGGAGAACATAAAAATTTCTTGTCCCTGCCAGGAATCGAAACCATAGTCCATCACTACACCATCTGAACTAGATGGTTCTTAGTGTTAACAAGTGCCTGATTTTTTCCAGTGTCTGATATTCTGGACCAGAGTACAGCATTTCAGAAACTGACCATGCTCCCATCCTCAGCCTATTCAGCTGGATTCATTAGGAATTATTACTTTTAGTAATTTCTCCTCAGGGGGTTTGCATGTCCTGACAACCAAAAGAGCTCTGTTTGTGGGGGTGTAAGCTCCTGGCAGTATCACCCCTTCTAGACAGGTTGATGGATAGGGGCCAGATGAAAAGTAGCCCCTGGTCTGCCAGGATGTGGGGGTGGGTTTGAGACCGAGAACCTCACTTTGGAAAACAGTTAAGAGTCAAGAAACATAATGATGAATTGCAGATGAAAAATTTTGTGAGATGACAGAGGAAAAGTTATATAGTGAACAGATGGATACAAAAACAAATACAAGTATCCATTGATTTAAGAAGGTAATTTGTTCCATGAAAACTGTTTGTACAGTGAAAATTCATAAATCAGAAATAAAATTTGCATTATTTTATGTATAGGAGTCACAAAACTTATGAATTTAATTTGTTCACTGTAGAAAATATGAAGTTCAGTAAGTGAAAAATAGGTAAAATTAACACAGTTCATTTAGTGGAAATACGTAAAATGAGGGAAACCTGTAACGGAATGGAATGAGCATCTGTTGTAAAGGAAGCCAATGCTCTTCAAGGACTGCAGATGCAGGTAGGGTGCAAGTGAGAGCTAATCTTAATCACTTTATTCTAATGGACATAACTGAAATGGTACTCCTCCCATCTGAATATGGAATAAGATTAATCTCCTGAAATGTTAGGTTCTGTTTTAGGACACTGAATTTTTGCAAACATCCAGAAAGATAACAATACTGAGTATAAAACAGTAATGCCAGAAGCCTTCAGAGTTGCCTTGTCACTAACATATCAGACTACTAAAGACAATACAGTGTGCGCTGTACCTTATGTTGCCACTCTAATTGCCACTGAAGAAACAGTTGCTGTTGTTGGAGTAGCAATTCATATGATGTCTCAACAGGTGACACAGCACTCATAGCAGTGCTCTTGTGGGCATTTGGTGGACCCTTGTATTCATGGAATTTAATGGTCCTTGTCTTTGGTTGCGACTTGGACTTTGATTTCTTCCTGTTCTTATCTTTGCCTGGTGCATCAGAACGATGTGAAGACACTGTTGAAATGGGAGAAGACTGAGGTGCAGGCCTTGGTGTGATGGTGAGTGCCGGCGAGGGTGTAGGGGGTGCAGGAGGTGAAGATACGGAAACAGAACTAAGAGGGCTAAGGCTAGATGTTGTAGAACCTAGGCTCATTGGGCTTGGTGTTGGAGCAAGAGGCAAGATAGTGGGCAGTGAGGCAGTAGCAGAAGTCACTGCTGGTAACTGAGCATTTCCACCCATTACATTATTGCACAGATCTGCAAATGTTACTGTTGCAGTCTGTTGCTGTTGGTGGTCCATGCTAGACGATGCTGATGCTGCAACAGCTTGCTCAAACGCAGCCGGGGATGCTGATGTAACGACAACAGCTCCTCCTGTGGTTGGGATCGTCAAGGCAACGGTTACAATTCCAGCTGACGCTGCCGCTGCTTCTAATACATTTGACTGTTGTCTTACTTCTGGTGCTGATGTTGCAGATTGGGTCTGCTGAGGAGACTGTGCCCCTTCTGAACTCTGAGAATCTTCTTCGAACGTAATGTAGCGATTTGGATGTTGAGGTTTTGTTAACTGGCCCTCACATGTTGCCTTAAACGGTATCACACCCTCTATAGAACAGAAAAACAGAACACATACATGATATAATAACTGCTTTATGAAGAAACTGTTTTAAATGTTCCAATAAGTAATTTATATTACATTACCTTTGACTGCCCTTTCAATAGGTTCCTCTGTGTGCAAGATATTCTTCTTGATGAGTTCCAGTGGACCAGGTCGATGTGACAGTTGGTCATTTAGTGAATCTGCCAAACGTGCCTTTTTCAGCATTCGCTGTCTCTCTGCTAGTGAAGGATCTACATGTCCCATATCGGCTGTAGCAAACACAAATATTCTGCATGAAAAGCATATCAACATTTTCACAACCAATTTAATCTCTTTTTCATAAAGATTTATGAAATAATGTTTCCAATATTAATAACATGTTATAAGATGAATTTTCTGGGACATTTGTTTATGTTAAAATTTAGTATCATCAATGATTTCTATTTTACTTTCTGGTCAGGAGTTTGTTGCTCATACATACAATTTTCTGCAACCGTCGCTTGAAATTAAAGCTAAAAACATTACTTTAAAATACTAAAAGCTTACAGTTCCTATCATCTGTGTGCGGGCTCATATAAACAATTGAGTTGATCAATGTGCAAATTAAATCTTTAAGAAAATGCTTATAAAATTTTATGCATTCTTGATGGAGCTTAAGAGACATGTTCAATAACTTCTCGAGAATGTATGGAAATTCATGGTTGAAAACAGAAACATTATTCTGAATACATGTGTATCATTCTCTACTCATTCTCATGTTGCTATACCAAATGAGTAATATTTTTATTAACAAGTGAACTAAAGCACAAGTTGTTCATTTCTAAATTTTGCAACTGTCCACACTGCATACATTATTCCCCTCCCTTTTATTTGTCTCATATTTTCATCAATACCTCATCTTCTTCAAATATTTCCTTTTACAATATAAACAGCCAATTATAACTTTCTGCTAATGATTCATCAACAGAAAGTCAAACTGTAGGATTAAACAAACAACAAACTCCATGGCCTGTAGTCCACAGGCGAAATATACCGACCGAGCGACTGCCGCTTGTGGGTTAAGTTAGTGCGAACTTCTTGCGGATAGAGGGTGTCACGTGGTCAGTGCAACAGATGCCCATGGATGTTAATGTCGGTTTTCTAGACCAGAGCTGCTATTTCCTTGAATAGCTCGTTAATTATCCTCATGAGGCTGAGGGGACCCCGTTCCAGAACCACTACTTCTCAGAAAATCTGGTAGCCCGGGAATCGAACCCGGGACCTATGGACCACAGAGGCGGTCAAAAACTGTAGGTTTTAACTGCGCAAAACCTTGCACCTTCAAGTTCATCATATCTTCTACACAATCACATCAGGATATTTTGGAATAAATATTTTTTCCTTTGGTGCAGGCAGTAGCATAGTTGGTTGAGGCACTATGCTACAAGCCGGAAGGTCGCAGGTTCAAGTCCCGATGAGATCATTGGATTTTTTTTTTCAGTTGACCTAATCCTTCCAGCCGCACTATGGCCGTGGGGTCGACTCAGCCTCTAACAGAAATGAGTACCAGGAATTAATTAAATAATTTTCCTGGGGAGTAAAGCGCGGCCGGCGAGTAAGGCTGACAACCTTACCGCCATCTTTGAGCCGACTGTCTAGATAATGTGGGACCCTCAACGTCTCACAACCCTATGGGCCTTCATGGCCTGTTACAGGGATAGCTTTACTCTTTTTTATATTTTTTCCTTAACATATCTCTGAGACACTCACCTTCTAAGATGTGTTGTCTAACAAGTTCTTGCCTGTCAGGACGTTGCTGAATTTTTGCCTTGAGCAGATCGCCCATTTTGGCACGTTCTAGCTTCTGACGTTGCTCATGGAATGCTGGCGGCGTTTTCAGCGCTGCATTACATAAAGATAGAAACCCCAAACATTATACCTGATTTACATGTTGTGTCAAAATCAACATCATAGTTTAAATTATAGAACATAATCACAGGACACATTATAGACTACCTGTACTCTTAAATCAATAAATACATTTCATACCAGTGCAAAAGTAACTTCATATTTCTGTAATATTAATGGCGTCTGGAATGGAGCAAAACTGTGTAGTTTTCCTGATGTACGAGTGCTTTGCTTGTCTTCTCGGTTGTAAACTACAACTAACAAACTAATGAACTAACAAACTAACAGAGACAGACAAACAGAGAAACATACAAACTACAACAATAATAGCTATAGTTTTCTTTCACTATACAGCAGAAATTGTGATACGCAGTGCATCTGGCACCATACGGTTGCTAGATTTCGTAATTTTCCGGATATCAGAATGTTATACCTCATGTGCATCTTTGTGTACCTCGCAACCTCATGGACAGACCTAACCATTTCACTTGTCTCTTGGAACTCTGCCCCCCTCCCCCCACCCTATGCTTTCTACTCCGTTTACATCACTACTCATGTAACATAGTTCATATATAATCTAAAAGAAACAAGACACCAATTGGATTCTAAAGGGTTCTGATGATAGGGATTACTGTTTTTTTTTGTACTTTCAACTGTCATCCGGTATGTTTCATAAACTGGATATCTTTCTGCCTTCAGGTGAGGTGGGAGGCGACTATTCTACTGGGTCCGCTTGAGCTAACCACTGCAACTGTGCAAGCCGAAAACATCGGTATGACTTTCGGGCGACTCTTGCCGTTTCTGCTGGTGCACTGCAGCTCAATGTGTCCCTAACTGAATGTCACAGTGGTCAAGGTAAGCAGCTCTACCCATCACTTGCCTCGCCTTCTGTTCGGTAGAGAATAATATGTCACGAAGTAAATGGAACAAACATATATATGTAAAATATATTTGCAGGAGGAGGAGAAATATCTACTGATGTCATACAAAACTAGTCACTAATGACAATAGAATAGACGATGCTTTCGGCTGCCTTTCGAGGGACACATTGCATCACGCCCATCACAGTGACCGCGCATTCTAACGCATGAAATATCTTCACCCGCTCAAACACTGGGATCATGGGTTCAAATCCTACTTGAGGTATGGATGTTTGTCCACGTTTCTGCTCTGTGTAGGTATCGGCCTTGTGACAGGACTAATCCTCCATCCAAGGAGTCGTACCAACTGTAAGATCTTTAGTCCTGGATTAATTCTGATGTGAAACCAGCCAGAGAGGCTAATAGAAAAGGCAGAAGACGAAGACGACGATATTGCTTCAAAATGGCAGCCATACCCCCTAGAGACCCAGCATGCAAAGTCTTCTAGGCAATCAAGGACTAATTTCGTAATTCATAAATTCTCTTATTTGGGAAACACCCAGTGTTGCATTGCCGAAGGAATGCAAACCGTGCAGAAGTTGTAATAAACACAAAGCCACACGTTTACTGGCAACAGAGAAGAGCAGAGGAGGGAAGAATATGGGTCATGTACATGGCGCCCATACTGCTGTCTGCCTCCCTGCATGCATGCATGCAAGGCATTCGTTCGTCTGCGTCAGGCAAAGCGCAAAAACGGGTTTTAAGTTCCGTGAAGAGTTATGTCTTCTTGGATATAACGCTGTATACTCCGCTGAAAGTCAACCGACATTTCGAAGGAATATGTAGGCCCCCCCCCATCTTCATGAAAGAGGAGTAAATTTC